TCAATGGTCAACACGATTTGGCAAATCGCTCGATAAGGACTCAAGCAACGGCAATTTATGGGGAAACTCGTGACCATAATCGTTAATTGAAAATTTTGTGTGGGTGCTGGTTCGACGCTAAGTCGCCTGAAGTGTGCGCTAATCTTGATGAGAACCCATCTACAATGTCAGCTTCGAGTATTTCTTATATATATATATATATTTTTTTTTTTTTTTTTTGGTTCCTCTGCCTCTGATAATCGCTGCACAAGAATGGAAACAAAATGGTAGGCCAAAGGCTGATTAAAACAATTCCAATCTTATAATATAATCTTATAATATCATATAATTAAAATATGACCACATCAGCCAAACCGAACAAAGCCGGTTTCCTTGGATAAGATCAATCTTAACTTTAATTGCCGCCGACTCTAAATGAATTTTGATTATGTGTGGGTGGCCTTTTATGAGCCCATCTTATCGGACTGATCCAACCAATGACGTGTTGCTTTATTTAAAGCCTCGGCCTAGGGGCCTGATAAAGTATCGATCATAAATTAGCATTTTACAAAAATAATATACATACATAGTCCAGTGTCAATTCGGGCATAAATCTGTACACTTATAATTAACCGAAACAAATATAAGATTATTAAAAATATTTTTGCAACTTTTTTGATTTGGTTTCTTCGTTTATAGATCTTTAGATTAGAAAAGAAATTGTGCGACGCGATTCCAAGAAATTTATAATGATTTATGGCTGGATCAATGAAACCACAGAAAGCAAGTGTTATGATGATTTGCTAGAATATATCTCTTACAATATCTGTTATACTTTCTATAGAAACTGTACCAAATGCAACTTCAATTTGTTCCAAATCTACGAACTCTTGGCACTGCAAATAAAATCTTCCATCGCAAGACAAGACTCCTGTTACCAAATGCTCATATCTCGTTGTTCAAGTGCCCAACAAAAGTCTTAGTTTAATCATATAGAGCATCAGCTAACATATATTATAAATCATATACCATATATATATTTTTGTATATCATAGATCAATCTCTCACGCATTTAAGATCTGTTATAATATATATGCCTATAGCATAAGAAAGAATAAGTCTTTGATAGGCATATCTTTCGATTTTCAGACATCTACTAAATTGTCGGAATCATGGAGTTGATTGCCTTGAGAAGCATATACCATATATCCCAGATCTTCCTACATGCTTCTCTTTCACACTCAAGATCTATGATAATATCCAATATAGATATCTTTGATAGTCATATCATTCGGTTTGCTTATATAACTTATACATCATAGGCCTCATAGATCGATATATATATTATAACTTTTTTACAGCCTCTCTATCACAATTCAAGATCTCTTATAAAGTCTACCTTTGACATAAAAAAAGTGCTGAAAATGATAATAGAAATCCTTGATAGACATATCTCTCGGCCTGCAGACATCTACTAAATTGTGGGGATCAAGGCATTGATTGCCAGTTAAGTCTGGCACTTAAACTGTCTGTCAGTGTTATATGCCCATGTTTTCTACAGCTCTCGGGGGCTTATAATTCTTATGTTCTTTAACCAAAATTGATATATGGCATGGTATAAAGGCGACTACGCCATTGTTTTGGAAGACATGACGTCGCAACGCGTGCGATTTGTGAATGACGTCCATATTGAAAGACGGCAGCAAATTTAAAAATCGAAAGAGTATATTATGAGCACACAAACAAAAAGTACAATATTAATCAATGAGCAGAAGAAGCGTGCTGATTTGATTGTCCGCCAATCTCTCAGATATGATAAAAAAATATATATATATAAAAATAAACGCATTCCATACAATGATGTCTATACAAGGTATTACGTATTTTCTCTCCATGTTGTTAGCAATGACGATTTACCTCATAGTCTGTAAGGCGTATGCTCTATAACTCTTTGATATTTGTTTTTACATAAGATTTACAGTTTGCATACAGTTTGTTTGCATCAAGAGACTGGCTTACAAAGATCCTGAGATCTTACAACGAACCGCTTATAACTCCCATTCCTAATCTAAAGACGCAACCAACACCAAGACAAAACTGGACAGGGCATTAACTAGTTAATCATACTCTGGTAAAAATTGAACCCTACTATCAGTAAAAAAATAAACCTATCAAAAGCAAACTCGTGATTAAGAAGCTTTTATGAAAAAAAAAAATCAATTGTAAGATTTGCGATTACACAAAATAGTTTCATCCCTAAATGACTCATAGAGACAATTCCCTAAAGATTTTCGAAAAACCCCCCGATGTGACAAATATATATAATAAAATATGTATTTAAATATATAATAAATCTTTAATGCTGCATTTATCTTGGGTATGATATGAGAAAAAGGGTGTACCACATGGAATTCTGTTGGGTTTTGTAAAAAGTTAAGGCCGTTGGACAAGTGAAAGAAGCTGTACTCTATTGTTGGAACGATGGGGAATTATTCAGAAGTCGATGGGAAGTTATTCAGCAGCCGATGGGAAGTTATTCAGAAGTCATATGTGTATTTGATGATATGATAAAGCCCCGATTGTATCAAAAATATAGAAAATTTTGCCACAGAAGATCCCATTTTTCAACTGATTTCTTCTTTAAAGCTACTTGAGTATAGAGCTATATGAGCATAGGGATACTTATATAAGTATTTAAAGAGCTATCTGGTAGTATTCCAGCTAACCTGGTTAGATAGAACTACGGGTTCCTTTGAGAAGTACCCTTGGTTCCATTAAAAAGTGTATGCAGTTTGCCTGGAACTAGTTCCGGATACTCGATGCGAGACTGCAAAAACTTTTTTGTGTAGTATCAAAAGTGGTTGAACGTAATTTCTGCTTATATAAAAAGCTGTTGACTGAAACCCTTTTTGAATGGGTTAACGTTCATTTGTCGTTCGATCAGCTTAAAAATCTTGTGGAAAACAAAAAAAAATCAAGCCATAGAGGAGTTTTCCTTTCGTTTTCATAAAGTCATGATACCCTTCCTTACCATTTGCGGAGCATTCAAATAAGATATTGATAAAGGATTTCGACAAAATCAGGTTATGCCCGCTAAGATCTAAATACCATGCACTTTAAGATTTAAGATTGGTCCAATTAATGCAAAGGCTATTTATTATATAAATATAAAATACTACTTATAAATACTTGAGGCTTGTCTTTTGCCAATTACGTATATTACAAACATGTGCATGTGCAATTCTTTTGAGTGAAAGGAAAAATGGTTAATCCCCCATCAAGCTGGATGGAAATTGTTAAGTTTATATGCATACTGAGACAGCAGTTTTGATCAGCGTTCGGTGATCAGTGATCGGTGATCGGTGATCAGTGATCGTTGCCAATTGCTAAATCGAGAGTGTTACGAATGGTAAAAGCACAGCTGAACTTTGCCCAAGCACAGGGAAGTACTCAAATCAAACACTCAAAAGCAATTATTGGAAATTTGCTTGACGCGTTCCGATCGCAAAACTGTTGATCAGGATCGCTAAATGCCCATATCAACTATTCATATATGCATATACGAAAGTGAAATGTTCAGACCTGCCAGCGATCAGCTGTTATGCACTTGACCAACCGACAACGGCGAGAATAGCTAGAACAGCGAGAACAGCGATCAGCGATCAGTGATCAGTGATCAGTGTGTCCAGCACGTGAGCCCTATAAATAGATCCAAATGGTACGAAGTTTCCAGTTAAGCATGAAAATACCCAAACTGTTTCAATTGCTTACATTACACACACACACACACACACACACACACACACATACACACACACACACAGATAGATACACACACATGCGCACACACTCGCGCAGCTCGCATACAAATGAGCTTGAGCTGCCGGCTGTAGATTGATAAACTGTCGCTGCAATTGTTGTTTTCCTTTGCTCTTATCAGAACGGTAACTTCTATATTAATGAGTACACGTTACAAGCTCTGCTCTCAGCGTGCATGTGTGTGTGTATGTGTGCGTGTGTGTAATTGAGTGCTGCAGCTGAAAGCTGTTGCTGTTGATCGACTAGCGGCTGCCCTGTAAAATAAATTGATTTGCTTGTTTATTTCATGTTGCTTTTCTAAAGTGTAGGGCACCAATTTGGTTTGCGTGCGGACGAGCGATTAACGTGCTGTGCCTGGCTAATGTAATCTGCGAAATGTGCACAAATTGATAGTTATCGATTTTGGCCAAACTATAAAATTAACTTGAACTGTGTATGCGTTACAAGCCCCTCCATAGCCGTCAATAAAGGTTGAGTGCCCAGCTCTAATATATTTCGAGACCTGTTTAACAAATCGTAAGCTGTAAATCGATAATTATCGATTTGCATAGAAGTAGCTAAATTAATACTTAATCTGAGGTCAACTTCAACTGGTGTGCCTAGCCGGGATATATATTTAAAAAAAAATAAAAAACTGTCAATCGATAGATATCGATTTGCATGTAATCGGAATTGTTATCGATAGACAGAAAACATAAATCAACTGATGTTCGAGTCTAGCTTTGATGGTTTTATAGCTGACTATAACAAACCAACAAACACATTTGCATGACTTTAATATACCCTATGTAAGCCTATTTATACAGGGTATCAACGAACATAAGAACGACAAGACCAATGCGACAATGCGATACCAAAAAGAAGCGGCACACACACACACACACACACCGCTGCACACCTGCGCATCGCACACACGCCCAAAAAAAAAAATCGAAAATCAAAAATCAAAAAACAAGACAACAAAAAAAAAACACTGAAAGCGAAAACGAAAATGTTGTCAAGTGTTCGGACTTGACTGCACGCCAAGCAGAGATAAACTCTTTTTTAATACAGAGAAGCATTGCCAATAACGCCTTTAGCGCTGGCAGCGACGCCGACGCCGACGCCGACGCCGACGTTGACGGCGGCAGCGACGCAAACGTCGCTGTTTATTATTAAGACGCGCGCGCGCTGGTCGCACTTAATTAGTTGTGCGATACAATTCTAGCCAAGCGGTTGACGCAGCAGCAGCAGCAGCAGCAGCAGCGACTGCACTCGAGAAAAACTCTGAGAAACAAGAAAAACGCCGAAAACCAAAAAAAAAAAAAAATAAATAAGAAATCAAATAAACAAATATATTCATAAACTATTCAAATTTAAGTGTAGGCAGCTGCGACTCATTCCCCCCGCCAAAAAAAAAAAAAAAAACGAATAAATTCGAAATCGAAAACGAAACCGAAAACGAAAACGAGTTACATCGCGTTGCGCATACGCCGTGTGTGAAGCATCGGGCAAGAGTTCAGAGAAATTTTTAACAAAAAAATAAAAGTAAAATAAAACGCCCATTGAAAATAACTGAACATTTTCATAGGCGCACGTGTGGCACGTGTTTGCCTTTTTTTTTATAATATTCTAATTTTTTCCATTTTTTTGTCTCAACTCACAAATCAAAACAACAACAAACAAGTTTTTGCTCAAGTTTCGATATTGTTGTAAGTGCTTGGCTTATTTTTTTTCTGAATTCGTTTTTGTATCATGTTGAAAAACGCGCGCCTTTTGCTTGGCGTTTTCATATTGTCTGCCAGCCTCATAACGGATACACAAGCCACAGGTGAGTAAATAATTAAAAGCACAACAGCAAAAACAATAACAAAATCAAATTGTAAGAAATATGCGTAGGGAAATTCCGTTTATGGCAAGTGCCAAGGAATCCCCGAAATACTCAATGAATGTGCCTGGCATGCACAGCATTTGATGAAGATCAGACAGACCAGATGGTTGGGCGCTGCCCGACTGGCAGATACCCTAAGTGCGCGTCTGCTTTATACCCTTCTCCTGTCTCTGCTGCTTCCATAAGCCGCACATTATGCAGTCTTGTTTAACGGCGACTCGGTGCTTACAGTCCGATCTGAATGCGATTTTCACTGCTTTAATATGACATAGAACAGCGCAAGGCTCTGCTCTTAAGAGGTAGAAAAAAAAAATTGAATAGCCCATAAATTTGTGAGTACCATGCGGAAGTCTTTACATAGAATGATAACTTTTGATGAAAACCGGAAAAAAATGTCGAAAATGTCACTATAATAACTGTTGATATGTGATTAACATCGATATTTGCTGAATTATGAAAATAGGAAGATATGTTAAAGATTGTTTTAATTTATCGAATTATGGAAATGGGGCAAATGGTACAAAAATTATATGACAACAAAATGTAATGCTCAAAAATGATATTTGATGAATTGAAAAAAAAAAAAACAGGGGAAAATGTCTAAGAATTGTGTAATAATCGAATATTTGATTTATGGAATTATGAAAACATTTTACTATAAAAACTTTTGATTTATGCCCAACATCGATATGCTTGTCGTCTTATAAAAACGTCGAGAAATATATAATAAAATCAAGCTGCGCATCGTCTCGACCTTAAGTAGTTCCCGACATCGACAGACAGACAGACGGGTGGGCGGACGGGAGGGCGGTAGGACGGACTCGATTGACTCAGCTCTTCGTCCTAATCAAGAGTCTATGTATATTCTTGATGGGCTCTAAAGTGCTGCCTATTAAGGCGGATGACTCATAGATCAAATATATACTGTTATCTCTCTAGTATATGTAACTTCTTTGGTTTGTCACCTGAATTGTTATTATTGAAATCTATATAGATATATATATATATATATATATGTATATATCGTGTGTGTTTTAAAAAGTTTTATTTATTTAAACAATTGGCTTATTAGTTTAAAAAAACTGGCAAATAATAAACATGTCTGTAAAAGTAGATCGATAAATTTCAACGAATTGGCATGCATTATTTAATTTTTCATTTGTGTAATTATAGTATGAGTCTCTTTTTTTTTGACAGTTTCCATAAATTAGAAGCTGCAGCAATCGAGAGCCCGCAATTACGCTGCCTTCTACTCTAGATATAGACAGGTTTTAAGTTAATGCTTTTCGAACTTTGTTTAAGTGAGGCGCAACATAAAAGCCAAATAAATCAAATTAAAATATTGCACCTTTTTATTGTATTTCGTGACGATTTGCGTAAGATCTATCAAACTATTGTAGTCAAAGAGTTCTTGGGCCAATAAATTTACTCGTCAAGAGTTCAAATTGACGATAAGTTCAACAATTCGTTCGCTCAATTGAACTAGTTCCTGTTTTAAATATCGTAGATCTTGGATGTATATAGGCATAAAGTGAACATTTTGTACCATGCAATCGTTTAAAATTGTTGATTAATTCAAAAATGAGTTATTAAAATGAACTGGTTCTTGATTTACAGTTCAGGACATAGATGGTATTTGTTTAATACCAAATCAAAATACTAGAATATATATGCAGTCATTTGAAATATTTATTTAAATTGTTGATAAATTTAAAAGCGAGCTGTTCAAATGAGCCGGTTCATGGTTCACATATAACATAAACACGCACTAACAGTAGTAGTATCTTAATAATACCAACTCAAAATTTTAGAGAATAAAATACCAAAATCCTGTTTGTCGCAAGCTTTGGAATTGCGAAAAGGACAATATTAATTTTACATAATAATAAGTTATGTATATTATATGACTGCATAAAGACTGCGATTTTAAAGAGAAAAGAACGGAAAATTTATTAATATATATCACGTTAAGACCCCACACATTGAAGGCCAACGTATTTGTAATTCTCTGCAATAAATTTGCGGGCTTTTTTAATCGAAATCATGCCCAAAAACAGAGCAGAGCAAGAGACAGCTGTCAAAGCAAAAACAAATACAAATAAATATAACAATATAATAAAAGAAATGCAGCATTTAAATCATGGAAATAAATCAGATTGAAAACGGTTTACAGGTGTTGTCGCCTGAGCACAGGCCATGGACAAAGGGGTGGGGCAGAGGGGGGTAGCTATCAGTGGCAGCTGCTTTGATAACAAATAAAACTTGCCAAAATTGAACGATTGAAAGATTGATTGAAAGTGCACGTGTATGACCAAATGTATGTGTTTTTTTTTTGGGGCGTGGTCTTTACATCCTGATATACATATACATATACATATACATATATATATACATATATACAAGGGCCAGGTCAACTGGTGGGAATCGTGTCAGCTGGGCCGAACATTGATGTAGCATCTGTGATCTATAATCGTCAGCCGATAATGAATTCCAGTTCCAAATTGATTTATCAGCATGCCCAAAAAATAACACATATATAAGTATATATATATATATCTATAAGCCATCTGATTGTGGGCTGGAAGCAAATGTCATGCGATTGATTGATGCGATTATCTGACAGCTGTTTATAGCTGATAAAAAAATAAAAAATAAAAAAACAAAAAACAAAAAGCCCAACAACAACAAAATGTCCAAATCCAATTTCCATTTCAGTTTTCGGTGAGTAGCGCTTTTCGAGTGCCTGCACTAAAGACTTCAGAGCAAAAAGTCTGAGCCCGAAAACCTTTGATACCACGATTTATCATTGATCTGCGAGCAATAGAGGAATATAGTTAAATACGGCATCAAGAGTAGTAAGCCCTGCCTTTGGGTTTGCCAAATGAAACCCTATCTTCGAATGCCATTCCATAGCCCTAGGCCTAGATCTTGGTTCCAGCCTGGCTTTGTCATATATCTAGATAATTTTAATGAAACAATTTAATTTAATATTCGTTTTTACGTAGTTCTGCTCGGTTTTCGGCTTGTTTAGTTTAAAGATTGATTCTTCTTAAAAGATAAATTTCTATTCCGAAATGTAACCCAATAAGGTTTAAAGCTCTTTTTGCAGCCTCGGCTAAGACAATATAATACTCATCCCATTCCAAGCCCGAAATTCTAGATTCTAGCAACTACTGCAATTGACAAAGTTTTTCCCATAAATTGTAGCTTTTGTTTTCATGCTGAGTGGGAAGATTAGAAGAGAAAGTTAAAAAAAAAAAAATTGGACCCAGAATGGAAAGATTTAAGAAAAATAGAAGCAGGTACAATTCCATGTTGAGTTCCCATCCGGAATATACGACTAAAGCGGTCGAACCCTTTTACAAAAAGTACAACTAAAAATTATCTAAGAAATTCTTAAGGAAATCTTAAAATTCTTAAAAAATTAATCACCAGACTGAAGCATATAAATTAACCTAATACAAAAAATTAATTCTTTTTGTGTTCGTTCAAACTACAAACGGTCTCTTGGATCTAAGCGATATGTTTTACTTAGCCCAGATTATTTGAATGATATTGTTTAAGAATAAATCGTATATTCATAAAAATTAGCAATCCGTCAAGCTAAAAATATATGAAGGAAGCTGACAGCTGCGATCAGCTGAACAGTTTAGACAATTCAAAATCCACCAAGTTCCAAGAAACACTTTTTGCCAAATAATTTAATGCCTTGCCTTAGAAGGAGAAAGAAATAAAAAAAAAAGTGATAGGATCGTGTTCCGAAAGTTGTATATTATGTTATTTCTCCAGAAATTTTATATGGTTATTAGGAGCGTAAAGCGCTTAAGAGCACTCGTGCTGCAATTATCTAGTAGTTTTTTTTTATTTATTTATTGTTAATTTGTTTTTTTTTTTTTTTTTGGCGTTGCCACCCATTCATAATTGTTGCATAAACAAATGCGAGTAATTATCGTGAGCGTCATACGATAGAAGAATTATTTACCCGCACTCAGCATAAGCGAAGGTGATTCCCGATTCTTGATTCTATGGAACTGCGCTCCGGGGCAGCGACCCGGTGCTTTTATGGGATTTAATAGAAAACATTTGGTAATTCCATCTAATAACATTTAGCTGGAAGCATGAAAAGGCATTTCTAGCCTCTCTCTCTCTCTCTCTCTCTCTCTCTCTCTCTCTCTCTGTCTATCTCTTGCTCTCTATGTTTTGGAATTTGATGCGCGTATCCAAAGTTCAATCATTTTTCCCAGCGCATTCATGACGTTTTTGTTTTTTTTTTTATTTATTATTACTATCGGTTTTTAAATACGCGTCGCAGCATTCCCCAACGGCTGTTCGAGTATTACGAGTATTATTTGTTTTGGTTTTTATTTTCATCTATTTGTCGAGTGTTTTGTTTTAGTTGTTGCAACTATTCTTGTTGTTGTTGTTGTTGTTGTTGCTGCCGGCGCACATTTATCATCATCTCTGGTATTTGCCGAACAAACACGCAAACAAGCAGCGCCAGACGACGGCGCCCTCGTTTGATGGCTACACTAGACAACATAAAACGGGCTGGCAGCTCAAGTCTCAACCACAGTCGCCAGCTCTTTGATAGTCCAGCCAAGTTATGCAGTTATGTTGATGTCAGTGTTGTAAAACGGTTCGCGACTCGGTCGAACTGTGTTGCCAAAGCATTTGATAGCGTTTTTCGTTTCTGCTATGTGCGGCATTCTTGAGCGTTTTACTGGCCGCGTCTCTATTAACAACCACATGGAAATATATTTCATTTTACTCAAAGCATTAAGCGATAAATGCAAAGCTGGCGTTGCCAGACGAATTTTGGAGTTCGATTTTGTTAGCCAGTGTTGGGGAATCGTATTTATATTTATTTAACAACAATTAGCAAGCAGTTTTCAGTCTTTGGGTTTCAGCTTGGGAAACCGATTGATTTGCATTAAGTCGCAACACGATCAGCGAAATGAGCCGCCAATTAAACGGCAAAGTTGCAACAATTAAAGAAAATGATAAAAAAAAAACAAATGTTAAAACAAATACTGAAAAATGTTATTAACTAAACAAAATGCACTTTGCATTTGCGCGGGGGGGGGGGGGGGGGGGGTGTCTCAAGTAATTATGGCAAAGCGTCAAAACGTTTCTCGATTGCACAATGAATCGCATCAATGGGTCCGATCAGGGTGCAAGGCGTCATAGATATGGCTTAGAATAAAACAACAACAAAATCAAAAGAAAAAAACAGATTAGGAATTTCCCAAGAAGCGCATAAAAAGTTGCCAAACAATTTCCGCATAAGGGTTTCCGATTTGGATATGCTACAAAATGCTGCATCACTCTGGGATTTTGTTATACTGGGCGTGTGCGGGTATTTCACAAACCCGGCCTCCATCGTCGGGCAGCTGTCAACAGGTTCAATAAACTTGTTTTATGCATCGGCTTAGCGCAAGCTTCAGATGCAAACGCGTTGATATATTCGCAATAACATTCACATTCACACATCTGTTGCATTGTGTATGCGAGCGAGTATCGAGTATCGAGTGAATATGTGTCGTTGGCAACACTGGCGATTGAGCTATGGCTAATGTTTGGCTCATAAAACATAGCCTTAAAGAGAGGTATTCATGCTTGTTTATTTATAATGCTTTTCTATAAGACCAGAGAGACCTATAAAAATATATTTGTCCTCAACCTAACTTCGATTTCTAGACTTAACTGGTTTTTGGTTTGAACCAGCGCCGACTAAGCCAAGCAGTGTCAAGCAGTTGAACTGCTTGCAGGGTATCTTGGCGTCGTTGCTCAGCATGCCGTTCACACAATTTATTTAGTTGCCTCAATTTTAAGATTGTTAAGTTTTTCTAATTATTAAATTATGTTGCATAATTGCCAATGAATGTTGTAACTTTTTTATTGTATTTATTGTTATTGTTTTGTCTATTCCGCGCCCAGCTGCAAGAGACATGCAATTTAGCTGCCACAGAACAAAAGAAAAACAATCTTAACAATACGAATAACAAGAATGAGCATAAAAACCTGGTGAAAAGCTGCCGAGCGTATCGCACGTGCTGAAAGAGTCTCAAGCGAAAAAGGTCAACACCAAATACCAAAATGCTCAACATGGGCAGCAAGAATCTTAATAATAACAACAATAATGGGTGGCAGGCATGCTCGACTGACAGATACCCTTCGTCTAGCTCTCAAGAGCATGCCTTTCCAGCAGGTGTCTGAGCATTGAACTGGCAGACGTAAGGTCGCTGGCTCAAAAACTAAATACAAATATCTGCTTGGAGATACGCTGGCTCGACTCGAGCACATAAATAACTAATTGACTTGACGAAGATTTGCACACATATTTGCGCAGCTTTATGTCCAGCTTAATGGCTGTTATGGCTACAGGGTATAAAACGAATGAATCACTATTTGGCGAGAGGGTTTTCGCTGGCAAAACGTTTGCACAAGAAATGCTGATAAGACAATGCCAATCAGACAGAACGGCCCGGGCCCCAGCCAATTGTCAGCACTTCTGCGGCATAAACTAGATATATAAAATAAGTCAAAAATATGGCATTATTTGCCCATTCCCGCTAAGACAAATTATGGCCAGCAATAAGAGCTTAATCATATGCCCTATAAAAGAAATGCCAGGAAAAGCAAATAACAAGACCAGAGCCAAATGCCAAATGACTATTCGCATTATTTTTGGATGACAAGTCAAATGCCAAGACAATTTCAGTTAAAACCCAACAACAACAACAACAACAACAAGAGCAATAATATTGGTAACAATAATAACAATTTAGCTTGTGCAAAATAACAAAAATATCGTAAAACTTTCAATTGAAACGGAATTCAATTCAAATTTGCCCCAAACTTTGCCATGTAAATGGGCTCTAAGTGAGGAGGGGAGGGGGGTAGGGTCGGGGGCACTTAATGTTTACGTTCGGTCTAGTTTGATTTATATATACAATTAAGCATTAGACTGCCATCTGACAACTAATTGCTATGCCATATAATTGTTTATCTACCCACGAATTGTGGTGGAAATTTTTTTTTTGTGTTTTATTTTCTGTTTTTTTTTTTTTTCGTGAGAAACAATTAAAGTCTGTTATTCGACGGGCAGAAGTTTGTTTAGCGTGTATCGATGCAGAGGAAAATATAATGCAAAATTGCATTCCCGGTTTAGACGAGCCAGCGTCCTCCATGGTCACTTTAATGCATTTCAAAAGTTTTATTTCATCCCAAAAAATGTTAGATTTTAGAATTTGACACCATTTCGGACTCGTAAGGATCAGTTTTATCGATTGGCGTCAAAAATATGAAAATCTAAATTTTGACCCAAATCGACAAAAAAAAAACAAGGGGTTACATCACGTTTTTTTTCAAAAACGAGGTAGGTTCGAAAATCAAAACTTTTTCGATGATTTTTTTTTTAATATCTCGGGAAAATATCGTCTGATTTTGAAATGTTATGCCTTTTTGAATTCGTACGAATCCCTACTATCAAATGGCATTCAAAATCAATCGCAAGGTCGTATTTTTTGGCATAAAAAATAAAAGGAAATCTTAACGGTAATATAAAATTAATCCCAAGAGCAGAGTGTCCTCCATGATCACATTAATTATGTTATATATTTCATATTCAATACGAATTTGTTAAATAAACATAATTCCAGCATGGAATATGATTTAATTGAAATATATTCAAAAATAGCTGGATAAACTCCGAAATTATGCAACCATGCCATCTAGGGTATCTGCCAGTCGTATACGCATGACTGCAGCGTGTCAGACAATTTGCATGTTAGTTGAAAAATTGTGCATTTATGATTTTCAGGGTTGCAGCTTCAATCTTATCAGAGTTTTCATTAGCCCACTGAATGCCTTTTATCTATATTATGGCGCCCACATATTATATATATATATATACATATATAGAGAGAGAGAGAGAGCGAGAGAGAGATACTAGACAGATGATTTATATATAATTATTCTTCTTCTGCTCTTCGTTTGACAGCAAATAATGAAACGAGCTTCCTGGAATCATCGCTCAGATATTTGGATGAGCAGCTGCTGTACGATATTCTGCCGCGTGCCACATGCCCCGGCCAGGAACAGGATGCGCCACTAGATGAATTTCCCGATATATTTACAGGTATGTAAAAAACCAGCTCAGCTAACACTAGTTCCGGGCCGCTAACGAAACGGGTTTGTGTTTAATCTGTGCCGCACGAGAAGCCTTCGAACTTCGGAGCTTGACAAGTTTGTCAATTGTCTTGAACTTGCTGACCATGTGGCATTGGTCAATGGTCTTCCTGCTGGCACCGGTCGGCGCGCACGGCTCTTATCACTTATCACTGGGCCAGGGTCAATACAAGTGCGCCGATAAAGAAAAACTCAATGGGCCAATAAATCAGTCGCCGCAAATGTGTTTACACTGGGTGCTTCGCCCATATGAACCAGAAACCAGAAACCAGCAACCAGCAACCGAGCAGCTCCCACCTCAGTCCGCCAGATTGTCTATTTTCACAGCGCAACGGGTCGAGTCCGTGCTCTCGACTCTCGGTATCTTCTATGTACACACATGTCCGCGTATATACACTATATACATATATATATAAATATATATGTACTATATCTCTTTGCTGCTCTTCAAATCGTGCACCTTATCGCGGCCAAGTCGTGAAAAACCTTTAATTAAACTACAATACTTGGAACACGACAGATACGCATACTTCGAGCGTCAAACTCGGCCCATGTATAATAAATAGCAAAAAAAAAAAAAAAAAACTGTCTGTATTTACATGATATGCCAATAGAATCTTTATGCCCTGCAACTGTGTTAGTGGGGTATCTTGTTCTCCCCTGTTTTATCTACAGATCTCTGTAGATCTCAATTTTGAAATTTTATGGCATATACAAGAGAAACCTGGGTCTAGAATTTTACCAAATTTTCTCTGGCAGAAAATTTGTTTAAGAAAAAAAAAAAGGTGAAATCCCAATTGAATTGTGATCTTCTCTTGTTCGAACACAGTGGAGCAACTGCGTCAGGGCTGGGTCGTGCTGCACGTATTCGCCGCAATCTATTTCTTCATATTGCTGGCCATCATATGCAATGATTACTTTCTGCCCACCGTCGAGTGCATCTGCGAGGATCTGCATCTGTCCAAGGATGTGGCGGCAGCCACGTTTATGGCGACGGCCACCTCGATGCCCGAGTTCTTTACGAACACGATAAGTACACTAATTCTGGAATCGGACATGGGACTGGGCACCATAATTGGCTCGCTGATGTTCAACACACTTGGCGTTGCCGGACTCGCGGCCCTGGCCATCAACAAGGTAAATATTGGTGGGCAGCCGTTTTAGCGTGTATTTACTGTATCAATTGATATGATTGCAGCCAGTGCAGCTGGACTGGTGGCCCATAGCCAGGGATTGCTTCATCTACATCTTCAATACGATCGTTTTGCTGGTGCTCGCCTGGGGCGGCAGCATCAGCTTTGTGGAATCGTGCGTCATGATGGGCTTCCTGGTGCTCTACTATCTGATCACATTCAACAACAACAAGTTTATGCCTGCCATACGCGTCTTTATCGAGGATCGCATGAACTGCTGCTTCTCCACGCGCTACGGTAAGTACGCCTAACTCTACGCTTACCTGGTGAATCAGTTGAGGAACATTTGCACATCTTTCAATAGATCTGACGGAACCACCTGAGAACAGTGCCAAAGCGCAGCTGCCGCTGAAAAAGGATCCTCTGTCCGGTGACGGGCTGTTTGTGGTCAATTTTCCGGAGAATACCTCATCCATGTCGTCTACGGCCAATTTGACGCACTCCAAGAATTGTAAGTATGCATGCGAAAGCAAATTAAACCTGTTCAGCTCCAAATTGTTTTACTGGTTCCGCTGCCAGCAAAAAAGAGCTGCTATCTTGACAGTTGTAATGCGAGCTTATAGAGATCTCGATAATTGCTTAATGTTATCGATAACAACACGAAATTATCGCTTTCCTTTTGAATGCGCTTTACAACACATTAATTTTATTCTTCTTTTTTTTTTGTCTCTGCCCAGGGAACGGCGAGGACGACGATGACGATCAGCTGCCGCGAAGCATTTTCGCCTTTCCACACGGCGCCACAACTTTCATGAAATGCTGGTGGGTCTTTACGTTCCCGATTAAGCTAGTATTGCGCATGGTGATTCCACATCCCATGCGGCATCGCAGATTGTATCCGTTGTCCTTCATCATGTGCATCATTTGCATTGGCCTCAATGCCTATCTAATTGTCTGGATGTTGACGGCTTTCGGTGTGGCCATACGTGTGCCCACCATTGTGATGGGTCTCACCTTTTTGGCCGCCGGCTCCACAATGCCCGAGGCGGTTTCCAGCCTTATATCGCTGCGAAATGGTAAGCAAATTGATTCTAGACTCGCTCACATTTGGTACTAATCTCGTGGATTTCTAGGCGAGAATGGCATTGGCGTCTCGAATTCGTTGGGCGCCAATTCATTGGCCATCTTGTTGTCCCTGGGCGTGCCGTGGTTCGTGAAGAACTGCATCAACTATGGCACCGGCGAAAAACAGCAGGTTGGCACCCAGGGCATCGAGTACAATATATTGATCCTGATCTTCTGCACCATCGCCCTATTCGTCGTGCTCAGCTGCAGCGGATATCGTCTAACCAAGCGCGTGGGCATAGCCCTGTTCAGCGTCTATACGGTATTTATTGTGCTGCAGATCCTGATCGAGATGAACGTGTTCTTCCCCATGGACTGCAGCAGCTAATAACAACAACACCAGTTCCAATTCCAGTTAGGGTTCCAGTTCGAGTTCCAATATCCAGTTCGATAATCGGTATTCGTGTTCAAGTTGTATGCCATCGAGCTTCTGGCTGGCACCAGAGCAAAACGCAGCCAGACGTGGATTCGGTTAAGTTTTCCGTTCTAATTGTTAAATATTTATGTATATACGAGATTTTGGAGTTGCATTAGTTTTAATATGTATATACATATCGATAATGGGGCTTATGACATTGATTGCCAAAAATGTTGGGTATTGCTCTCAGTACGAGTTGATATGGTTCATTGAACTAATTCAGGCTATCAAGTTCGGCTTAAGTGCCAAGCTAACGTATTATTTTAGGGTTGCCACCTAAGAGATAACGAACAACAACGACGGAGATTTACACAAAAACTAACACTAGTTCAAGCTAACCTAAAATATCAAGCTCAATTAATGTCATACGTTCATATTACACAATTATTATTATAATCATTTTTTTTTTTTTGTTTTCCTAGCTTAGGTACTCCTTAAGACTGTCTACTGTTTAGGTATAAATAATCGATTGTAACAAACTATCCTGTTGTACACTATTTATAAAACCCTACCCTAAAGGCTCTGCTAACGTCACAAATTTAAAACTGGTACCAAAGCGCGACATTCTACTGTAGCTAAACAAAAACTTCAAGCGAATTACCACTTAGAAACCAAATGCTATATATATATTTATATATATATTGTATATATTTACTGACTATAACTAACTACAAGTACGATTACGTAAGTGCCCTGCGATATTTATGGCCAACGGCCAGACTTTCCTTAATTATGTGCACAGGGTATTGATAGTGTGCCCGTGTATTATCACTGTTGATATTCCATAATGTGTGGACTCTATTGTTACCGTTACTGTACATCGACACATCTACACAAATACCGTTTGTTATTAATTTATAAATACATTTAACGACAAATATTAACAATTGTGATTTTTAACGATTTTGCTCAGATAGCAAATAGCAAATAGCAAATAGCAAAGAGAGAAACAAATAATAATAAAATAAATTTTAAAAACAAAAACTACTCAAGTGTCCCGTTGCTCGACTCTCGAGTGGCCTGTGTGATTTGCTGATTAGTTTGTGCACAGTGTGTACATACTTATGTCGCACACTGTGCTTAGGGCGTGCTGATAAGCCAAATGGGAAACACCGTTATGTGCTTGCTTTGTTGTTGTTTTTGTTTAATAACCCTTCGGATTGGAGAAATTCATTAAAGTTTCATCACATAAATAAGTTGCTAAATGAGATCAAACATACATATACATATAAGTATCTTAGGTGTATACACTGAGAGAAATGAAATACCAAACAATTTGTATGACAACTTATTCAAACAGCAATTTTAACTATGCTTGTCAATTTGTATGACAGTGCGCGTGTGTGTGTGTGTGTGTGTGTGAGTATATCTTACAGACATAAAACAAATAATCCACAAATGTTTCTAATCAAATAGCCAGCACTGTAGCTGCTCGCCCTCCATAAAGCCGGCGACTTGATAATTGTTTTTTTTTTTTTTTGTTTAGTTTTTTGCGCTTTATGCGGGCAAATCGTCTGGGGATCGTTAGCGATTGTTGTAATATTAACATGCGTATAAATATGCAATTAGTTCTTGTCTTTCATCATAATAAATACTTATAAATAGTTGCTTGGTTTCATTTTGTCGCTTTTTCGTCTGCTTTCTTTAACATGCTTATGTCTGTCATTTTGGTATTCGAATGCGATACAATACGTACTAAATTAGAGAAGTTTTCAAAACTTGCGCCCAACACGAACGCCTAACATTTCGTTCACAAGGGGGGGAAATACATATAATGCATTTTAAGCCCATGTACAAATCAGTCTGAGCAATTACAATTCAAATGTGCCTGCGAATTACATATACAAACAACATGTTTAAACAGTGTGTGGCGGAGGTGTAGGTGGATGGGAGGGGGGTTCTTTGCCCGGAGGGGGTTAGGGCAACGTTCAGTACGCTTTTTATAGCTTTTAGCTGCGTCTTGAACAACCAATTGGCACAATTTCTACACACATTTCTAGTACACTGAGAAAAGTTTTTGCCGATTTAAAATGAGAGTGTGTTAGATTTAGAGAAAGGAACAAACGCAAGTTGAATAATTTGAAATGAGAATTGGCTAACAATTTTGAAAATTTTCTTGTTGACTTGGTCGAAGCTTTGATGCCAGTGCCTTGGGCCTGGTTAAGTTCCATAATTCATTGGGCCACACACTCAATTAGGTGCAACAGTGGTGTCCGTTTTTAACGTAATAGTTGTGCATGGCAACGGTGCCGTTTTTGCTGTAACTGCCGCCGCCGCCATTGTATTGTGTGCTTGGGTTGCCGCCGCCATTTAAGAAGCTGGCGCTGCCGTTAATCCCGTTACTGCTGCTTGCAGTTGCAGTCGCAGTCGCAGTCGCAGTAGCATTGCCATTGTCATTACTGGTTGCCGCATCGAATGCCTTGATGTGATTCTGTATGATTTTACACGTAAATTGACGATGTTGGCCCGGTTCCTATGCAAAAGCCAAAAAAATCAAAATCAAATTAGTAACTGGCCCCCGTATACCCTACATACTACATATGCATACATACTTGTGTGAGTGTGTGCTTGTGTCTGTGTGTGTGTGTGTTGTGTGTGTGTGTGCTTGTGTGTGTCAGTATTTGCGTTTGCGTATGTTTTTACCTACCTTTGGCTGTATGGGAAAACAACACCAGAGTATGAACGCTATGAAGGCCACCAGTGTGCCAACAAGCAATATGAAATCCTCGATGGTCTGATTAGAGCATAGAAGATGAAAATCAATTATAAATTCGATTAGTGTTGTCTGGTAGCACTGTATGTGTGTTTGTGTGTGTCTGTGTGTGTGTGTGTGTGTGCGGTCTTGATGTTGTTGTTGTTGCTTCTACTTACCGGCTCTTCGCCAAGCAGCACGTGATTTATTAAGTAGACGAAATCATCAAATGGTGTCATTGTGAATGCCGAAAACGCCGTCCAAATGCAGCTTGCAGTTTGTTTAGATCCGGATTTTTCTTTACTTTATTTACTTTTTGACTACTGCTGCAGCTGCTGGGCGTTTTCTTCAAGATTCGGTTTATTATATGCACAGCAATAACGTTAACATGGCGCTGGCACTGCAACACTATCACAAAAACAAATACTTAAAATAAAAATTCGCAACCTTGCACGAAATTATGTGTTAAACGCAGCTGCAGCGGCAGCACAGGCACAGCGCTTTGTGATGGGCATGGCGCGGTTTAAGCTTAGAATATCGATAGTATCGAAATTATTTCAGTGCTATCAGTGTTGAGTCGCTTAGTTATATCGATATGAAGTATTTTCTCAAATAACGAGTTAAATATACCAAAGTAAGTATAGTTGAATAGTATTGATAAACATATTGCATATTAAAAGCTAATCAAGCTTAAGTCATCATTTGAAATTGTTTTGAAGTAAGTATCGATACAGTGCTGGGTATCGATAGGCAAACAGCTGTTAACGCCAATGCCGCTTATCAGTCAATTTGTCACCACTAGCATAATTTTAAAGGTGTTTGTGTTTTCGATTTATCAAGCCGCATATATTTTAATAATTTCAAGTGAAATATGGTGAAAGTTGCCAAAGCGCGCAGCAAGGAACGCCCCATGCGCAGCGACAATGATATGGCGGCCCAAAGCAGCGATGACGACACCAAATCGAAGTTAGCAAAATCAAAGACAATCAATAAGCATTCAGAAGCCGTAAATCGCAAAGAGAGCAAAACGCGCAAGCGAAAAATAGCACGCGATAGCTCCAGCTCCAGCTCCTCCTCCAGCGGCAGCAGCAGCAGCAGCAGCAGTAGCAGCAGCAATAGTCGCAGCAGCAACAGCAGCGAGGCTTCCAAGTCCGTCGGTGACAACAAACGCGCCAAAAAAACGAAAGTTGTCAAGGACGCAACGCCCAAACGGGAAAGACCACAGCAGCAGCAACGGGAGCCTGCAACCGTGGAGAGCAGAGTGCAAGAGCAGCGCTCCAAATGGGACAGTCCAGAACGCAGCGGCGCCAACCAGCGACACGGTTCTGGCAAAAACACAAACAAAGCACGCAAACGAAGCCGCAGTCGCGAACGTGAGCGAGAGCGGGAGCGGGAACGCGAGCGGGACAGAGACAGGGAGCGGGATCGTGAACGTGAACGTGACAATCAAGTGCGTCGCGGACGCGAAAGGGAACGTGAACGCGATAGAGATCTAGAGCGCGGCAAAGATCGCCGCCAGCAGCAGCAGCAGCAGCAGCGTATGCGCAGCAACGAGCGTCGGGAGCGACCACGTCGTTCGCCCGTCGATTCACATCGGTAAGTGGAAGAGTTGAGAGTGCGACACCTTAACATCTTAGCATTTATGCCCCATGCAGGCGCAGCAGAAGCCACAGTCGTAGTCCACGGGAACGTTCCTACAGAGGCGGCGGTGGACCACGTCGCCATCAGCAGCAGCAGCAGCAGCGTCGCAATGACCATCGCAACCGGGACGAGGAGCACTTTGAGTGGGGCAAGCCAAATGACAAGGACAAGCCGCCGGCGTCCAATGATGATGAGCCGCTCGACAAGGAGAAACCCAATTTTGGACTGAGTGGTGCCCTCACCGAGGACACCAACAAAGTGAACGGTGTTGTTGTCAAATACTCGGAGCCGCCGGAGGCGCGCAAGCCCAAACGCCGCTGGCGTCTGTATCCCTTCAAGGGTGAGACGGCGCTGCCCACGCTGCACATACATCGACAGAGCTGTTTTCTGGTTGGACGCGATCGCAAAGTGGTCGACCTGGCGGTCGATCATCCCAGCTGCTCCAAGCAGCATGCAGCACTCCAATACCGTCTGGTGCCCTTCGCCCGCGATGACGGCAGCCAGGGCAAACGGGTGCGTTTATATCTAATCGATTTGGAGTCGGCAAACGGCACGTTTCTCAACAACAAGAAAATCGATGGACGCAAATACTATGAACTGATGGAGAAGGATGTCATCAAGTTTGGCTTTAGCTCGCGCGAATATGTGCTGCTGCATGAGAACAGCAAGGAGGACCAGGAAGATGACGATGTGCATATCAAAGACGAACCGGCCGAGCCATCTGACACAGCCGAGCAGGCCAATGCGCCAATATGAAAGAGATGCCAATAATATGCTCACTCGCTCACACACACACACACACACACACTGTTCTTAAGCTAAGTTCAAATGTATACTAAACTATGTATGTTCAAATCAATGTGTCTCCCCGTCCACTCGCACCCCCCCTCCCCCCTCCTACTTACCAATTCCATTGTGTGTGTTTTGTCCATTTGTCTATGTCCAAAATGCGGCACGTTTTCGCGTGCAACAACTGCCAACATTGAAATACAAGCCAGAATTGTGTACTTCCTCATCAAATTGCGTTGAATTCTTTTTTGGTATTTGAGCTGCGACAGCTCCAAGTAGCTTTGGCTCTTTTAGTGAACCGTCACGTCTGCAGCTTAACGCAACATGCATGGGCGTGCCATCATCTGGAGCTGCATCTGCATTGGCATTTGTCTCGGCCATGTCTGGGCCGTGCCAGCGGCCAGGCCGCGTCGCCAGGTGGTGCAGCCATTGTGGCTAATGCGGCCCGATTTGCTGCCCTCCTCACAGGCGGCACGGGTGAGCGTGACGCCGCAAAAGCTACAGGAAACAGCCGACATACGTGCGAGCATACAAAAGGCCGTCAATGAGGGCACCTACGTGGTGGCCGCCAGTCCACAGCAGGTGAGTGCTGCCAAGTGCCAGCAGCGACAGTGGCTAAAAGAAAAAGCAAGCTTCAATTTCTCGCATCCACATATCAAAGTTAATAAGCACAGACTTAGTGCTAGGTTTTTTCCATATACTTGCAAGGCAGTTAACCAAGGTGTTAGGTATTTGCCAGGAAGTTAGCATTGCAGTGCTGCCACCTGGCTATCCTCTGCTCATCTGGCAGCATCGAGAAGTCTCTAAATTATCTCTGGCCAATCAAATGCGGCGTTGCCACACTTGTAAAAAAATGGGTGCAACTTGTTATTAGCAGGAACTTTGCAATGAACTTAATCTAACGAACTTATTTACATCTGGTTCAACAATATGTTTTTTTAAAAATCTTTTAGTAGAGTAAAGACTTTCTAGAAAATTATTCAAATATTTAAAGATTGTTTTTAAGCCGAAAGTCTGGCTAGATAAATTGCCTAATTAATTCAGTTTCTTTGGCCGCTGAAAAAGTAGAGTCCTGGCTCGTAACAATACGATTCTAGCCTTAGCTTAAAATAACATATATCATAAATATTTTCTACTCTTAAGGTATTACAAAATCTTTCCGAAGAGAAGGACATTACATTAAAATTACTATCAATCCCAACTCTTCCAGTTCCTGAGTGCGCTGGGCCAAGTGAACAGCCCAGGAGCAGCTGTTAACCCATTCGCGATGCCCGTGCTGCCCGCTTTCACGCTGCCAAATGCGACTTGGTGGCGACCATGTATGTTTTTGTTCGCTTTTATTCCGATTCCAGTTATAATAAATAATTCATATTTAGTTTAGAAACAGCCGAAAGTGCGAGGATTTTCCATCAGCGACCGAACAGATGCGGCAATTTGAATACTTTACGCGCCTTGAGAAACTGCAAAAAACAATTTGCATTAACTGGAAATTCTTTTTGTTTTTATTTGGAAAAAAAAAAACAAAAAAAAAAAAAAAAACTTAATCATGTAGTAATAATGAAATGTATACTTTATAGCATATGAAATTTTAGCTATCAAACAATTTTCAACAGTTTCTTATTTTTTGTTTCCTTTTTGCCATGAATGTGTTTTTCTTTTTGTTTTCTTTTGTTTCTTTCTTTTTCATAGGGTATACACATAGGGTATATCGCTGTACAAAATCTCTTTAAACATTAGTTTTCTCTAGCACTAAACAAAAATGCTCTAAAATACATATATGTATATATATATATATATAATATAGTATATCATATCATATCAGGTGTACAAACATACTTATACGCGTGTCTAGCCTGTTTACTGCAAATCAAGAGGTATACACATTAGTTGACTTTGTGTGTTGGGACTATAACTAGGCATTTATATATCGAGCTACCAGGTTCTTGTGCGGCTTTACATTATATATTTTTTTTTTGTATTTTGTTCCCTTAGCAATGATAACCGACTTTAAAAATATACTCAAAAAAAAACAGGGTTTGATATAAATTAATAATAACGAAGCGAACATCTGCCTGGCACTTGCAGAGAGCTTAATTCCCAGACAAAACCGATCTTACATATATATCTATATATATATTCTACTAGTCCTATATCGATCAGGTTTCTGAATGGTACTTTTTATAAAAAATATTTAAGCTTTAACACACAATAACACAAATTTCTATGGATTCTATTTATATATCTATTTTGTATATTGGTCCAACCAAATTTGGCTATATATATATAAATATATATATATATTGTATAAGGCTTACGGAAACTTGTTCTTATTGATTTTGGTCTGGTTTCTGTGTGTAAAAATCAAAGTTATATGGTTTAACAACTTAACATATATGACTACTATATGTTGTACTAATCGGATCTAGTCTATTGCCTTATTTGTGGAATTAAATGGGCCTATATATACTATGGATACACTCTAGAACAAGGCTAGCAGAAGATGCTTAACAAAAATGTCTGATTAAGAGAAAACTAAGTCGAAAAACTGTTAACTTAGCTCGAGATAAACAGATACAGACACTTACTATATATATATATATATATATATTTCCATTTATAATCAATAAATTTGCAAAAAAAAAAAAAACAAAACCTCTCCGAATAAGCTCTCTGCAAGTTTCAAAAGAAATTTATCGATCGACAATCGAATTGTTATCGATTTAACGAGGCGCAGTTGTACACAGTTTTACAGTTACAGTTACAGTTAAATAGTATTACAGTTGTATAGTATAACAGTTTGACAGTATTACAGTATTACAATTATAACATGCATGGATATTAATGCATTTTTTTTTCTAGCTTAGGTTCACATTTAGCTTATATAAGAAAAACGGCATTAAATACTAAAATTATTTACTTTGCTTTTATATCATAGAGTTTTTCATTTATTTGTTTATTTATTTATTATTATTATTATTATTATTTTGTTTTAATATAAGGCGTCTTTCAGATCCGTTTGCTTGCAGAAAGGGAAAAGGCAAAGGAGCAGACTGAGACAAACTGTGTCCACAGGTGAGGGAATGTTTTCAGCTCAGTTTTGTTGTTGTTCAAAATGTTCTCGGAATGCATTAAATACCAAATAAATGTACCAAAAATTAAACAAAAACAACAACAACTAAATAATAATTAAGTGCAACTAAAATGACTTTACTCTAAGTCTGTGGCTAGTCTTATGGTTGCTTTGTTTTGGGGCTTTGCTGTTTGGAATTAAACCATTTTTTTTCGTTTTCTTTCTTGTATAACATTGTAAAAGTTTAGCTTAACTTGATCATAAATGAAATTGTGTGTGTGTGTTTGTGTGTGTAAAAGCGATTTCTTTTTAAAATTCATCTTTTTGTTTTAGCATAGCCATAAATGATTCATGCGAGACTGCAAGCCGCAAAGCTTCGAGCCCGGCTGCTAAATCTGAACTCTGACAACTTATATGAAAACTTATATGAATATTTGTATATACTAATATTAAGCTGGCCTGCCTGAGCTCCATGCATATAATATGGTAATAAGTTCAAGCTATTGACAACAACAAATTCACTTGTAATTCTCAACAAGTTTTAGGTACAAGGGAGTCGATAGCATCGGTAGAATCAAACAAACATCCTGCTCATATGTCATTCGACAATTATTTATATATATATAAATATAAGAAAGCTAACATGAAACTTGAGCCGGACTAGCTTAATATTAGTAATTATACAAAAATAATGTTGAAACCGTTTTTCAAGTTCCTAAACTATGCAAAAATAAACCAACTTCAAAATAATCAAAGGAAATAGTTCAATATGCTAGTCAAATTTGTTGAAAATTTAAATTTTAAACCGGATTCGAAATTCTATGCTGCGATTGGTTCCACGCGTGAACCAAAACCAGGCACCGCGTTGCGACTGGTTCCACGCGTGAACCGCGATCCGCGAACCAGCAGCAAGTTTTTTGCGGCTCTGCAGTCACGCGAATAATAGATACAAATAGATACATGACATGATTACAATGAATCTACATATACACTAAAAACTAGAAGCTATACGCTCTCTCTCTCTCCCTCTATATATATATATATATGTTTATATACTAGATTATGCTTAACACAAAAACCAAAACAAAAAAAAATGGAGAACAAGACGCGGCCTGCATCAATGGATCCATCCACAACTATGTCAATGCCCAAATATCATGCTAAGTTCAAAAAACTGATAATAAGTAATTGCAAGAGATTAAGTAAAAAAGAAAAGAGTAGAAAATGATTAAATTAAAAACGAAAATAGGGAATGCAACCAACGACATATTCTGCGACTGGCTGCGCTACGTTCCATCTAAAACATGTTCCATATAATAATCCAGATTGTCGTTGTTGTTCTTGTTTATTGTTGTTGATGTATTCATGATGTTGTTGTTGTTGTTGTTGTTGTTGTTGTTGTTGTTGCTGCTGTTATCGAGTGCTGTCTCTGGCCAATACACTACACATTTAGCATGATAGTTAGGCAACCGGATATTGGATATATTCTTATCTAACCTCATCGATATCCTCACCCTCCGACGAGCTGCGTATGGTATTGTATTGCGAATTCCGGCTGCGCAGCATCCGTAGAAAGCTGCCCACGGCAAATATGGTGCGCCGATGTCGATGGAATATACCCTGATATAAGGCCTCTCGTAATGTCTTTCGATCTTCAACGTCCACCGATGACGTCAATGATGTTTGATGCGGCAAACGTGCTGCGAATGAATACACCATTAATTAATAATAATAATAAAAAATACACACTCTAAATAAACGCACCAACACACACACACACATACACACACACACACACATGCGATAAGGCGAGGCAATCGTTAAAATGAATTAAAAATTGAAAACAAAATAAAATAAAAAATTTAAAAACCCCAAGTCGAAAGTTCTGCCTTCAAATGTTTCGCAGATTAATTTTCTCGCATGCGGCTTGTGGCCAGCCGCCGCTTCAGGGAAATATCAGCTGAGTGTGCGTGCATGTGTGTGCGTGTGTGTGTGTGCGTGTGTGCGTGTGTGTGTGTGTGTTTTTTAGATCAGTTTTCATGGAAAAATCAATTCAAGCCACATGACATTTGAGCGGCCCGAGCGAAAGGCATACAATATACATACAACACATTGTGTAAACTACAGTGAAGACACGCAAAAACGGAAACGAAGCCTGCCTCAAAAATCCCGTGCCTCGCTGTGTATTTGCCCTTTTCTGCGGTCTACGTATTGAAGCTGGCAATTCGGAAGCTAAATTCTGCATATCTGTAGTAAAATTGTCCTAAAAACCTGCTGTGACAATCGATTTTTATCGTTTGGTTATCGATAACATGCTATTAAACACTTATCGTTTAGTTATCGATAACATGCTGTTAAACACGCATTGTTAAGTTATCGATAACATGCTGTTAAACACTTATCGGTTAGTTATCGATAACACGCTGTCAAACACCAATCGTTTACTTATCGATAACATGATGTTAAACACTTTTCAGTTAGTTATCGATAATATAGTGTCCATCAGCACCTTGTGATAGTTGAGTTCGTATTCTTTAAGTGCCATCAAATGGTTATTGCTAGTTTAGTTTAATTAGGTGGCAACGCTGTCATCACATTTAATACATGTTTAACAGGTGGATAAACTCATTGTAACCAATTTCCAATTGTTAAATGGCAAATCATCTGATTAAATTAGCTCAAACTGTTTTGTATTGTGATTGTAGCTTTGGCCGATCTAAAAGTAGACTTGCCACCTTTCTGTCCAGCCAGCAATCATTCACAGCCATCTAATCCTTGCAAGTAATCCTTAACATGAACTTTTGCAAGGAACTCCACAAAATGAGCCTTCGACTTGTTGTGCTTTCAAAATCGAACCGATTCGGTGCGTGCTTTGTGTTTACGGCTCCGCAAAAGTTAACTCCAAGTTTCGTGGAAAAGTTAACGTACTTTAAGGCTGGCGGCCAAAAAAATTAGCCAGCGCTGTTGTCACATTTAACACAAATATTTGACTTGCGAAGCAACGCATAAAAATCTATTTTATTTGTTTAGTGATAAAACACACGTAAAAGTCAAAGGTTCAAAATGGGAAAACAAAGTAGACAACATATTGTTTAGTTCCTGCGATCGTCGTGACATTTGTCCCACTGTACTTTTGCTCATGTGCGTATTTATAATTATACCCTGAGCCCATTGAAAGTGTGGATAAAGGGTGTAATGTTTTTGTAACTAACATGCGGAAGGAACAATCTAGGACAATCTAGTCATATCTCTCTGTCAGAAACTAGAAGTTAGACTTGACTTTTGCCCACGAAATTGGGAAGTGTATACAATATGTAAAGCTAGTTGATTATTTTGGATATCGATAAATATCGTTTTTGAGGCAAGGTTTTTTGAGCACCAATCCGACAATTATAAAGTTTCTCAAAGTGCATAAATATAGTTAACTATTTAGATACCTTGCTCACAATTAGGAAGTTGATTTTTTTAAATATCGATTAATATCGATTTTGAAACGAGGTTTTTTTTGAACATAACATGACACAAAGGTACTCATAGATTAAATGTTCGGAGACTACACTAATTTAAAGATCGATCCTTGCGAATGCAAGCCACACTCAAGCACTCAAAATTTCATAAAGATCGGACTATAAACACCGAAGATAATTAATACTGCATTTCCCATGCAAAGTGTAGGTTAGAGAGGGGAGTGACGGGGGGGTTAGCACAGTTGCTGCGTGTGTATCTGTGTGTAGAATGTTCGCGGCTTGTTACTGTGCTCAGGGTATCTCCTAGTCGGGCACGCTCTCTGATCTAGGCACGCCTACTCGTGTGTGTGTGTGTGTTTTTTTCTAATTTTCTTCTTTATAGGCGCTGGCTTGTTTGCGTTTACCTTGAACATAGCTGGGGCTTAGGAGCGGGGTTTGTTCAATATGCACACACACACATTTGTATAGACTTATGTACATACGTATATATGCATATATATTCTTGAAACTTACCCGCGATGGGCGATTTTGGCGACTTGAGCGAATACTCATCCAAATTCTTGCCGCCCAAATCGAGCTTTAGCACCTTTTTGGTCAGCTGCTGTGTGGCCGCCTCCATGTTGCTGCATTTCTCGATTTTGATGTCCACATTGCGCTGGCTAACGGCGCTTTTGGTGGGCGCGGCTGTAGCAGAGGCTGCTGCTGCCGTTGCTGCCGTTACAGTTACTGTTACTGTTGTTGTTGGTGTTGTTGTTGTTGTTGTTGTTGTTGTGCCTGTTGCTTTGGCGGCGTCGGCGTCGCTTGCATCAGACATGTTGTCGTTGTTGTTGTTGTTGTTGCTGCTGTCGCGCTTATCAATATGCTTTTTTCTGCTGCTGTTGCTGCTGCTGCTGTTGTTGTTATTATTTGAATTGGAGGTCGCCGCTTGTGTATCGCTGGCACTTGCGGCCGCTAATGCTGCAAATTGAACGCTGCTGCCGCTGCTATTGGCGTTCGCTGACGTCGTCGTCGTCGTCGCTGCTGACGCTGGCAGCGCTGTTGTTGTTGTTGTTGTTGTTGTTGCTGTTGTTGTTGTTTTTATTGCTGTTATTTGAACGTCGGCAGCAGCCGCAACCATTGTTCGAGCGCCTCGCCAAATACGCAATAGTTTGGCTCAAAAGCCGTTTTATATTTTGTTCTAGCCGTTATGAGCTGCCGCCTGCTGTTGTTTTTGTTATTGTGATTATTGTTGCTTCTGGTCGTTGTTTGTCTGCCGTTTGCATATAAAAAAAAAAAAAAAACACAAAAAAAAAACGAACGATTTCCGATGACGTGCGCGTTTTTGCTTTGTTCAGCGTTTATTTTGTTGTCTATTTTAGCTGCTTGTTTGTTTTATTTTTGTTTTGTATTATTTTATTTTGTTGTTTGTTGTTGGCAATTAATTGCAGTTTTTGTCGCTGCTGATGTCGCGTATAACAGTTCTATTATGTTGGTGGTTCGGTTTCGTTGGGTGTTTGCACTAAACAATCGCCGGCAATATCCAAATTGGCGCCATAAAGCGCCACCTGTTGCGTGTAGTCCGTGAGCGTAATGAGCGGCAGACTGTTATCGTGCAAGCTCAATTCGCTCAAGTTATCGATAATTTCGTACAGCTTGCGTTGATCGATTGCCGCTGTTAAAGCGCTGTTAGTGCTGCTGCTGCGATCGCTGCTGTTGCTGCTGCTGCTACTCTCAATGTTATTGTTGCTATTTTCACCACACTGCCTCGCATAATCACACATGTCCGTTGCGGCGCGCAGCACTGGCGTTATGTGCACACTAATGGCATCCGTTGTGCAGCCCTGGTCAAGCAATGTCTGGCAACGCTCGCGCTGGCGCAAATTCTTCAAAAATGTACTCAAATGCTGCTGCGACTGATCAACAACTGTTTGCTGCTGCGGCCAGGCTTTCAATGAGTAGCGTCGCTGCCTGTGGCGCTGCTGCTGCTGCTGCTGTTGCTGCTGCTGCTTTATTGCATTACGCTGTCCAATCGATTGCAGGTACTTGATGTTGGCAAGCAACCCCCGTTCGTAGTAGCCACTGGCCAGTTGCAAATATGTACACAGATCGATGCGATGATGTCGCTGCTGCTGCTGCTGCTGCTGTTGCTGTTGCTGCCGTTGTAGGCTTTCCACCTTTGCCGTATTAATATTTAGAACACGCTGCTCATATTTTCTGCTGCTTGTGCTGCTGTCGCTGCCGCTGCGTATGCCGTCTTGGTCACGTTGGTCTTGTTGCCATTTGTGGTTGCCATCATGGCACGTCCTCGTGCCCGTTCCAATTGCCCCCCTCTTGCCGGCGCCGCTGCCGCGGACGCCACTGCGTCAGTTCAAATGCCGCTCAACGAGCGCCTTCAGCTGGTCGCTGCTGTGGGCGCACCTGATGCGTCGCACCGTGTCGTTGTAGGTGTCGTCCGGTGGCTCAGCCGAGCAAATCGTTTGCCGGCCACGGGGCGCATACGTATCGCCGAATCTGTAATTAGGCACGGCCATAAAAGGGGCGAGGGGCGGCCGAAAACATTAATTACAACAATGCCAAGCACTAAACGTATTCACGTACGACTGAACAAACAGGCAAACACAAATGAAATAAATAACAAAATGACGCACCACCCCTCCACCCCTCCACCCACTGTGGTTTGGAGGGATGGGCTAATAAAATCAAACAACGATTTCCACACAACCACACAAAATGCCGCTGTACAGCTATTTACTTATCGTTATCGTTATCGTTTATGGGCAACGTCAACAAGTGAGGTTAAGTGCGACGCGGAAGTGGCTCCTTTTCTCTATTCCTTTCTTTTTTTTTTTTTCTTGTATTCCCCGCTCGGTGGAATTACCTTTGGCAAAGGTTACCCCGGGCCTGAACTTAATGTTAACCGTGTTGCTTGTTTGATAAAATCAATAGGAAAACTAATGAAAGTAAAACAAGATGATGGATGGGACTGTACTTCATTATTTGCAGGCTGAGAGCTGGGCTACTTTGCTGCCTAATTTATTAGCTTAGTCTCGAAATTCGGTTCGGAGAGCTTTGATAGCCAAAAGTTAATATTAAACAGCTGCCAAGTCGAATGCATGAAAATATTTACTCAAAAATCGATGCTAGCTTCGCTAAACACTTATGCATATACATTTTGCAGGGTTTATTTTTCTCAACTCGAGAAATGTTCTCCTCTAGGAAGTTTTCTTTTTGGAAGTCTCAGATTAATTATTAGATTGGATAGCAGGATTTGTGGACTTAAGGATTGAGCTCAATTGTTCAGTAAACTACTTAGTTCATTGTTTCGAAAAGCTACATGATGAGAATTTCTATTGTTTGAAATTATTAGAATAGTCAATAAGAGATAGAATGACATGGAATGGAAGGGAATACTTTGGTATAGAATAAACTGTAACGATATGATTTTAAAGAAGTATTTTACGATGCGGATTTCACTTGTTAGACAGTTATTTTTGTTTATGAGAATCGAATAGAAAGGCGATCTTCCCTCTAAAAAGAGTCCCTTTGCAATACAAGGAATTCCCCTCGTTCAATTACAGTAAAAACTTAAAAATTCTTCAAATTTTCGATATCTCGAGAATAAACTTTGTGTATTTCCACTTTGAACCCGATTATGGACTCATTTATGAAGCCAGCATAAGTGCACAAATTGTTAACGCTTAATTTTGGGATATTCCGAGTATATATTTTTTGCTCCACTATCAGCATTTAAATGTGGATAAACCCAATGGAGAATGTTGGCCCCGCCTTCTGCCGGCACTAACCAACACATCACACCATGTGCCAACGCTTATCAACACTGACGTCAGACGAGCTGGTTGGTTGAAGCGGTAGGGATGGAACGGAGGGCCTGGCAAAGGGCACGAAACTCGAGCTGAAGATGTGTCGGAAATTTCACGTCAACCGCATTGCCGTATGCCAAGCGATAGCTCCAGGGTGGGACAATATGGGGCCTATATACATTTATGACACCAACTGTCATCCACACACACACACCCCACTCACACACCCCACTCACACACCCCACACACACATACGCGCCACCATTAAAATTAGTGTTGTGTACCTTGGAAAATAGTGCACATGGGCGGGCAACTCGCCACGGAATTGAGCACAGGGCGAGCCAAAGCTTGGACGCTGGAGGCGACTGCGTGTCCGACGCGGCTGACGCGGCAGGTGGCAGCTGCGACTCGACGGCAGCGACGACTGCTGCAGCTTAAAGTCACGATAATGATTGGCCACCTCGTGCTGATAGCGTTCGATGCGAAAGCATTTTGTGTTAAAGATCCTTCGCATGCTCAGCTGCGCCACAAACTTGTCGCCCACGCGCAGCGGCTGGCCCACAACTGTCAGATCGGACATGGACTATATATATATATATATATAGAGAGAGAGAGAGAGAGATAGAGAGAGATGTATATATCTCGACTAAAGCACGCGCGCGCCAGCTGCCCAGCTGAACCGTTTGGATGTAGCCCACAAAGCAAACTACAGACTTGACATTGATGGACTCCCAACCCGGGGCAACTAATCATGGCCTCTCTAGCTTCTAGCCAGGTGGAAATTATGTACAAACATTTGTATTTGCATTGATTGGATACAAAAAAAAAAAAAATAACAAAAAACAAAATCCCAATATTTCTGTCTGGCAACAATTTGCGGTTATTTGTTATCACGTCAGACGGCGATTTGCAGAGGACCCCTCGATGTCAAGAACCCCAAGAGCCCCAGTTCCCTTTTGAATAATCCACGCAAATGCTCGACTAGTTGATGCTGTGTAAATTTAGTTTATAAAAACGATTGCGACATAAGTAGATTGTGAGAAGATTATGTCCATTTAATCGGAAAAGCCGAAAATCGATAATTATCGAATCGGAAAAGAACAGCTGCAGTTATCGTTAATCGAAATTGAAATATTGTATGGTAAATGAGAACTAAATTTGAAGTTTTCAATTGCTTTTATTTGTAGAATTCGCTTAGCTTATGATAATTATCGATTTTTGTTTAGGTAGAGTTATCGAATATTTGAAAAGGAACCTGGCATTTGTTATACAATTATTAAAATTCCCACATTGAGCCGCACCTAATTTTGATTTTAATTTCCGATTTGCATAGTCGTAACATGATCTATAGATGCCATTCAATTTCGAATAGAGCACAAACTTTCTGCTTAAAGATAATTCTCAATTAATACGCTCTTTAGCTTCAAGTACAGGGTATGAGAAGAGTTGTTCAGGTAGGTGCTCAGCCTGTGCCTTTGCCAATAGTCAAATTAGTCGTTTTCATGTCGTTAACTATTGTAACTGGTACATCCCATCCATAAATACAATTGCTTTGCATGTTTCTGTTGGCGCGTCAGCAACAATAAGCCAAACAATGTTATTCAAATGCAAAACAAATATTGTCAACAAATAACTGCTATAAAAGCAAATAATGTTGGCTAACCCCGCACTTCAGTTGCGCTATAAATCATTACGAAACACGCGTTGCCCCCGATCTGGGAACGTTCCGGGAACAATCGAGTGCATAGCCCGGGCGCTTCAATCAATTGGCCTCGACTTAATTGAGCTGCCGACTGATAACAGGCAAATAAAATTCCATTTGGCATTTCAAAACAGTCTCTAATTACAATTTAAAGGCAGATTCCACACATATATACATAAACATATGTGTGTGCATGCGTTATAATTGGAAAGAACGTTCGGTTTCGGGTCTTCATGGGGCCTTGTGTCAACATTTATATAAATGTGCGTTCTGATAGGTTTTAATTAATGGATATATTTTACTTCCTGCACGCATTGAGTATGTGCGCTTCAGTGTCGCATTAACAGCGTCACATTAACAGCGCACACTTAACAGCTAATGTTACGTTATCTCAAGAGTCATTATTCGCATTTACGATAACAGTGTCACATTAACAGCTCGAACTTAACAGTCATGTTAACGCCATGTTATTAGTTATTAATCACATTTACAATAGCAGCGTTCACTTCACAGTGCGACTTTAACAGTAATGTTAATGCCATGTTACGCTGCGTCACTTACACAGGCATTTTAAAGCTCTCATATGACTGCATAAACTAACTATGAATGTGGCTTAAAGTTGTCTTGTTAATACGAATGCTCGTTTAAGTAGTTCTTTAACTATTAACTTGTCTGCAAATGCTGCTTAAGCATTAACAGCGTCATGCGCAAGATGAGGACTGTCTTAAGAGCTCTAATGAGCAACTAATGTTACAGTTATATAAAAAGCGTCTCTTTAATAGCCTGACCTTGAGCAGCGCTGCGCAGTTTATCCTGTTTATGATAAATGAGCCACTTTAACATTAACATTAACTGCGTCACTTTAACAGCGCGACCTTGACAAGCGCTTTGCCACTTATGTTAGGCAAGTGCCGTAGGGCTTAACGTTGTCGAGTTGGATAAGCATTAAAAAGGCATTACGAAAAGCTGTTCATAATTTGTTGCATTATTGATATGCCAATATGCCAATTGAGATTGATATGCAGGCACATTCGTCAAGAGTTTGTATGGCATATGGAATTGTGGGGCGGGCGGATGATTAATTTCGAGTTCTGATGATGATACAAAGACATGCAATCCAATATCTAACAGTCGGACGCAAATGGAGGACATGGAATATATCAAATGGAAATGGACAATGTTGCCGCTGAATGTGTTCGGTGGCGATTTGTTAATCAATCAGTCGATGCGCCAGGTGTGCCCATTCCCTGCATAACGGTCTACCTGCTCATTAATTTACCGCAAATCAGCGCCATTTTACTTAGCGGAAATTTTATGAGTAATTGCTTCAGAAGACCCATTAAAACTGCAATTTGAGCTGCCTTCCCTCTGTCAAAGGGGATGGAAACAATGGACAGGGAAAGTGGAAAGAGGGGGGGGGGGCCCCTGTTGCCTGCCCGATGGCAAGTCCTGCATTTGATGTGAGTATAAATAGTTAATAAAAATTTCACAAGAAAATCAACCTCATTAGCACAAATACGCAGGCAGTCGCTACATATGTGTGTGTGTGTGTGTGTGTGTGTGTGTGTGCGTGTGTGTGTGTGTGTGTGTGCGTAGCAGTATCCATTTCAAGTAATTGCCATGCTTATTTGCTCGCAAGCAGCTGAAAGACAAGCAACTGGCGGAGGGGGAGCACATGCATACATGCACATATACACACACACACACACACACACACACACACATGCATGCATATGCATCTATGTTTGCGTGCGGTGCGCCGGAATGTAGGCAATGCGCGCAGCGACGGCCCACTTAAATGGCTTTAAAACTATGCACACAATTAAAAACAACCGTTAAGAGTTGTTGTCATCATGTGCAAATAGCGAGCATTAGAGCGAGTAGGGGCTAGCGGGCAAGAGCGCGTGTGCGAGCGAGCAGGCGATTGTTTCGTCAAATGACACTGACAGCTAGCTGGCATGTGTGCGTGTGTGTGTGTGTATTTGACACACATACGTGAGCTTTTCGCTTTCACACAAACAACGCACACAAGCAAACACTCACGGACATTCTGGCTTGCATTACATTATAAGCAAATACAATCACAATCAGCAAAAGGTTTTCGCTCCACTTTGACACAAAAGCCGCCGTGTTTTACTTGTTGTTGTCGCCGCACGTCTGTGTGACACACTTATTATGCCTTATCACTTACACACACGCAGAAACACAGTGTATGTGTATACAATTTAAGTGTAACTTTTCTACATAGCACGGTCAATAAACTGCTGCCGCTACGCAGGAATCAGCCACACCAACACCAACAAACACAAACAAAAGCAACAACAACAAGTACGCACAGACAAATACTTCAGGAAACGGGCAGCGGCCGCCACTCGCTTCAGACTTGGCACAGATGCTAAATGGCAGCCACTGAATAATTAATTCATATTCATTTAAAAATGGCAAACAAAAAAAAAAGAAGAAAACAAGCACATAAAATTTGCCGTGTATGTCAACACATGCAGTGCAAATAATGGCGAAACAAATAAAATGCGTATTGATTGTTGATCAAGCAAACAAATGTACCGCTAATATTAACCTCTTTTGCCGTTGTTCAACACAACAGCTGGTCCTATCCGTGTGTGGCCGCGCGCGTGTGTGTGTTTGTGTGTCGCTGCTTTTTCACTCTCACTCCTTTTGGCAGTTAAAACTGTCACTTGCCATTGGGACACAAGTTTTTTACTTTATTTATTTGTTTGTTTTTTTCGCCTTTATCACATGCTTTGCCTGAGACAGCAACGCCGAATGCACGTTTTATTTATGCTGGTATTCTTATTAATGTTCTTTTACAATACACTTGTCTGCCTGCTGTTTAATGCGTTTCGTTTCGTTTGATTGCCACGCTTGATTGTTTCGTTTGGTTTTGTTATTTGATATATTCATTTCGATGCATCGCTGGAAATCGATACACTTCCAGGCTGTATGCCAATCGATATATTTGCTTAGCATAATTTCCATCGCTTAGCTATTGTAACCGCCAAATAGCGAATGCAACAAGCTGCTGTCCGAACGCGATTATATTGGTGAACCTGTAAATTAGCATGTTAAGCAAAATGTCTTGTGGTACAAAACTGCTCCATATATATTTTACAGAGTGCAGCATATATACTGTATATATAGCTTATTATCTTGTAATAACTTAGCATTTTCTTTTTTTCAAATTGTGAACTTTCAAAAACTATCGGGATTAAAAAACAATCGTGAGTTGTACTGCAGCTATCGATATATTGCGCACTTGTGTTCTGCTTCGTGAGCTAAATGAACCGTTCGTGAAGCTATCCGCGTTTTTGAAGTTCAGATAATTTTAAAAATATATGATATACGTTTCATGTGATTATTTGCTTCGTTTAGAAATGTATTCAATATGTTTCTTATATTGAGCATGTTTTCATTAAAAATAAAGTTGTTTTTTTTTTATTTCATTCCGCAACATTCCGATAATTTAATTAAATTATTTTGTTAGTACTGCAAATTGTAGTTCGCAGCCTGAACTAGTTAAAAACTGTACTTCACAACACTGTTGTGAACAACACTGTTGTAAAGCCGCATTTTATTTATTGTAGACAATTTTGTCATATTTCTTTAGGGGAAATATGAAATATTGAAACTATTTATTTAATTTTACTTAAACAAATTGCTGCAGTGTGTACGCTAATCAAAAGCAACCGTGGCCGCATTAAATAAATTAAATACCAATACGCCGGCAACGACAACTACCGCAATGACATCCGCAAGGGATCTGATCAAAATTGATATAGTAAGTGGCAAGAAATATATAATAAATAAGTCGTTTGACTAATGCAGCACCCATCTATGCAGGAATGGGGCATGGAGCGCTTGGTGCGCGCCCAACAGGTCGTCGAACTGCGTCCATATGACATCGAGTCGTGGTCGGTGATGCTGCGCGAGGCGCAGACACGGCCCATTCACGAGGTGCGCAGCCTGTACGAGTCCCTGGTGAATGTGTTTCCGACAACGGCTCGCTACTGGAAGCTCTATATTGAGATGGAGATGCGTAGCCGTTACTATGAGCGCGTCGAGAAGCTATTTCAGCGTTGTCTGGTCAAAATCCTCAATATTGATCTGTGGAAGCTCTACCTGACCTATGTAAAGGAGACCAAGGCGGGCCTTAGCACGCACAAGTAAGTGACCACGCAGCATTGCGAATCCAATATTCAACAGCTAATCCCTGCTGTATTCCTTGACAGAGAGAAGATGGCCCAAGCGTATGACTTTGCGCTGGAGAAGATTGGCATGGATTTGCATTCGTTTAGCATCTGGCAGGATTATATTTATTTCTTGCGCGGCGTCGAAGCAGTGGGCAACTATGCGGAGAATCAAAAGATTACAGCCGTCCGGCGTGTCTATCAGAAGGCGGTGGTGACGCCCATAGTGGGCATTGAGCAGCTGTGGAAGGATTACATTGCCTTTGAGCAGAACATAAATCCCATAATATCGGAGAAAATGAGTCTGGAGCGTTCCAAGTGCGTGTTGATGCTTTCAGTTCCCTAATATATATATATGTCTTGCCAAGGCCTCAATCGTAATGCCCAAACCCAATCTCTTATATTCCATGTGTTTGCATAGGGATTATATGAATGCACGTCGCGTGGCCAAGGAGCTGGAGTATCATACAAAGGGCCTTAATCGAAACCTGCCCGCTGTGCCGCCCACGCTGACCAAAGAGGAGACCAAACAGGTGGAGCTGTGGAAACGTTTCATTACCTACGAAAAATCGAATCCATTGCGCACAGAGGACACGGCGCTGGTCACACGTCGCGTCATGTTTGCCACGGAGCAGTGCCTGCTGGTTTTGACGCATCATCCGGCCGTTTGGCATCAGGCATCGCAGTTCCTGGACACCAGTGCGCGCGTTCTCACCGAGAAAGGCGTGCGTAGTCGTATTCAAAAACACACAAACCAAAATCAACAGCTGCCGCAATTTGTCGCAATGTTGCAAATAGAAACTTATATATCAATGCCAGCAAAATCAAAATTCTGTCTCTTGTTGTTGCTACTTGTGAAGTGTCGCCCCTTGGGTAAAGCGGCACGTGACAGCCGGAAATGTTGGCCTCCTCACTTGCTCGCACTTGCCGCGTTGCCCTTGGCACTGGCCGCACGCGTTTTACTCGACCACAACCGTCCCGCCCCAGCCCAGTAAAACTGTACAAAATAACCAACACACATCTGCCTATGACATATAAATCAATTAAACATTTCTCGAACCCCTCTTTCTGCAGGATGTGCAAGCAGCTAAAATCTTTGCAGACGAATGCGCCAACATACTGGAACGCTCCATCAACGGTGTACTCAATCGCAATGCGCTGCTCTACTTCGCCTACGCGGACTTCGAGGAGGGCCGCCTCAAGTACGAGAAGGTCCACAGCATGTACAACAAGCTGCTCACCCTGCCCGACATAGATCCTACGCTGGTAAGCCAACACAATCTTCCAGCTTGAATGCCTTCCGATAGCTGACTATACGTTTGTAATTATAAGTTAGAATAGAATAGGTTTTGACATATAGTCATAGACTAGCTGTTTCTTTGTTCGACTCTTAGATATTTATATTATTTTATATTTAATCTTTGAACGTGCATGCGACATCATTAACTGACCACATCATCTTTAGCTTATGTCACGCATTTACCTTGGCTATGAATATAATAGTTATAGGCTAATAATGGGCATATATTTTATATTGTAAATATTTGATAGTAAGCATATAGATTGGGACACCTCGTTAAAGCTTAATCTCAAAATCAATTCAGACTTGAGAAGTATGCGAATCTTTTGGTTTTCATAGAATCGATCTATCTATTGAGTGGGAAAAATGGATGGCACAGCTTGTGTTTGTATAATTCAGCTTTATGTGAAAAGTCACTTCACTCACAGCAGTGGAATATGGGGGAAAATCAATGTGCACGAAATATTCATTTAGAGTTTTAAACTAGTTGCCATTAGCTATGATTTCTACGACTAAGAGTCCTTCGCGACATTGTCCTTAATATCGCAATATGTCAACGATTTGAACAATATTTTGTATTTAACAAATAAAAGCTTTTAAATTACTTTTTTTAATTACTCACCTGTCGCCCTCCAGGTATACGTGCAGTACATGAAGTTCGCTCGTCGCGCTGAGGGCATCAAGTCCGCGCGTGGCATTTTTAAGAAGGCGCGCGAGGATGTGCGTTCGCGTTATCACATCTTTGTGGCGGCCGCTTTAATGGAGTATTACTGTTCCAAGGACAAGGAGATTGCATTTCGTATTTTCGAACTGGGCCTAAAGCGTTTCGGCGGCAGTCCCGAGTACGTCATGTGCTATATCGACTACCTCTCGCACTTGAACGAGGACAACAACACGCGTGTGCTCTTTGAGCGCGTCTTAAGCTCGGGCGGCCTCTCGCCGCACAAAAGCGTGGAGGTCTGGAATCGCTTCCTTGAGTTCGAGTCCAACATTGGCGACCTATCGAGCATTGTCAAAGTGGAGCGAAGGCGCAGTGCGGTCTTTGAAAATGTGAGTATAACAACTATGAGCGCCTCGATCTCAGGGAAATGTCAGTTTAATAGCTAGAATCAAAAAATAATGTTTGCAGTAAGCATTTAATATTAATATGAAAAGGTTAAAGTACTAGTATCATTATTTCCCTTATCATTATGAAACTTCTGAGCCTAATACTCTTCAATTTGCAGCTCAAAGAGTACGAGGGCAAGGAGACCGCACAGCTAGTGGATCGCTACAAGTTCCTGGATCTATATCCCTGCACCAGCACCGAGCTCAAGTCCATTGGCTATGCCGAGGTGAGGTTAACTACAAAAATATGCCTCAGCTAAGAATAATTACTTATGCCATTTGCAGAACGTGGGCATCATACTGAATAAGGTGGGCGGCGCCAGCGGCGGTGCGAATAGTCACAACAATAACAACGAGAACGAGACGGATGGGGAGGCGACACAGCCGCTGCCACGTCCGGATTTCTCGCAAATGATACCGTTTAAGCCGCGCTCATGCGCCCATCCGGGCGCCCATCCGCTGGCCGGCGGCGTCTTTCCACAGCCACCGGCACTGGCTGCACTTTGCGCCGCACTGCCGCCGCCGAATAGCTTTCGCGGTCCCTTTGTCAGCGTGGAACTGCTCTTTGACATCTTTATGCGTCTCAACTTGCCAGAGTGTAAGTCGTCACCCAGCCCCCAGATATGACACAGCTGTGTATCATGTATATTTTGTGTTCCGTTTTACAGCTGCGCCACAGCCGAATGGCGACAACGATCTGACGCCCAAGATATTCGATCTGGCCAAATCGGTGCACTGGATCGTGGACACCAGCACGTATACGGGCGTGCAGCACAGTGTTACGTCCATGGCGCCAAGACGACGCCGCCTGTTGCCCGGCGGCGATGACAGCGATGATGAGCTGCAGACCTCGGCGCCGCCCACCAATGATATTTATCGCCTGCGACAGCTCAAGCGATTCGCCAAGTCCAATTGAGTTGGCCCAATTGGCAATTATTTTTATAGCAATTTTTTTTTTAACACACGCCCCTCAACTACAACAAAAATTTACATTTTCAATCTTACAATTTTAAGTACAATAGCAACCATAGTCGTAACTGATTAAGAATTAAAGCAAATATACAACAAACAGTAAAATATTTATTCTTGTCTCAGCCTCGAAAGAGTCATAAGCACAGAGGAAATATTTTAAATCTTGAATAAACATATTTCTATTTATCCATTGAGCTTGCCTCATTTTTTGCACCTACTCAACAAAAATAGTTGGTTCTTAATTAATACAAGTTTAAATAAGATAAGGAAGAGCTCATTCAGTTTCAAAAATTGCCCGGCCAATAAAACGTTTAAAAATGTTGTATGAAGAAGAATCGCAAAAGCAGTGCTTCCTCTATCGAAAGGAAAATAGAGAATGAGAGAAAGAGAGAGATAGGAAAACTTCTAGTAAAACATTGTAAAGGTAACAAATTTGAGAGTGTATCTAAATATTTGTGTTTTGCCAGTAAAGCGTTTACGAATTCAGCAAAAAGAAAGAAGACAAAATACTTAGTAAGGAACTTTCATGTATCTTTGCCTATCTCTGCCCGTAAAATGATTTACGAATGAAAACATTATTTCAATCACTCTTCTGCTTTGTGTTGCATTCGTTAACGTTTTGTTCGGACAAGAGTGGGAGAGGAATAATACAATAAGCATCTTCAAGTGTATCTACGCTTGAAATATACATTCGTTTCTCGAGAATAAGCCATGATTAAGAATCTCAAGAACATAGCAAACGCGGAAAGAAATACTATATTATCAAAATGAATTTATTTCGAATAGTTGAAGATATTATGATTTTTTAAAAAGTTGCCACACTTTTTTGCGAATGCAGTCATAATGCTAGATAATGCTAGAGCTTGGCTCAGAATCGAGTATTGGGATTGAAAAATATGATCAAGAGCATGGGGAAAGAAATAAAAAAATAATATTAGTGCATTACTTTTTGAATAAGTTTGTGAATGAATGAATACAATTGAGTGCACGAATATTTGTATGCCAGGGATATGACAGAACTCCAAATCATGTTAATAATGTGAATGCTTTACTAAATCATATCATAAATTAAATGTGTAACAAGCGAATACAAGTGAATAAATAGTAAAACAAATGTACAAATAACTCATAAATTTTACGAATAAGTGAATGCATAGAAAACCGAAGGGAGTGCTCAAGTAAAACATTTGTGTTTAGATTGATTCTTAGAATTAAACAATTTCTCTTTCAAATGAGTGCAAGTGAATAAACAAATGAATCAAATAGGTAATCAAACAGCAATTTCAACAAAAACGAATAACTCAAATAACACTAAAGAAATCATTTATTGTAGCTAAATGTCAAATGAATGAATGAATGAATGTGTGAATGCAATAAACGAATAAATGAATGAGTAATAAAACAGGAACTAAAACTAAAATTGAACTAAAAGATAATAAAAAATACAACTAAATGGAATGTGAGTGGAATGGGCTTAATGAAGTGAGTATGGCCAAATGAATGCGAGTGAGTGTTAAAGGTATTCATTGCAAATGAATAAGCGAGTGAATAAACGAATGAGTAATAAACAGAAACTAAAACTAAAATTGCACTAAAAGTGCAGAAAAGATATAAGTAAATGGAATGTGAGTGGAATGGGTTGAATGCATGAATATGGACAAGTGAATGCGAGTGAGTGTTAAAGGTATTCATTGCAAATGAATAAACGAATGAGTAATAAAACAGGAACTAAAATTAAAATTGCACTAAAAGAGCAGAAAAGTAATAAGTAAATGGAATGTGAGTGGAATGGGTTGAATGCATGAATATGGACAAGTGAATGCGAGTGAGTGTTAAAGGTATTCATTGCAAATGAATAAACGAATGAGTAATAAAACAGGAACTAAAACTAAAATTGCACTAAAAGAGCAGAAAAGTAATAAGTAAATTGAATGTGAGTGGAATGGGTTGAATGCATGAATATGGGCAAGTGAATGCGAGTGAGTGTTAAAGGTATTCATTGCAAATGAATAAACGAATGAGTAATAAAACAGGAACTAAAACTAAAATTGCACTAATAGAGCATAAAGGATAAGTTATGTCTGTGATGTGATATAAATGGAATCGGTTGAATGAATGAAATGCGAGTGAATGAGTGTTACGGGCATTCACTTCTCCTTCAGTTCCTTCGACTGAATGGCCGAGCAGCGCTTGCGATGCTTGTAGAGACCCGCATACTGGGCGAATCTCTGGCCACAGCCGGAGCAGCTGTAGCGCTTCTCGCCCCGATGCAGGTTGAGGTGGGCGTAGTAGGCGCTGCCCACGACAAAGGCGCGCGCACAATACGGGCACACTTTGTCCCGGATATTGAGATGGGCGCGCATATGGCGATCTCGCTCGTGGGCCGTATAGAAGGCCTTGTCGCAGCGACTGCACGGATGATCGCGCTTCTCCGTGTGCCGCTTGACATGCTGATTCAGTTTGCTGGCATTCACGAATCCCCGGGCACAGTGCTCGCACACGTAGGGCAGCTCCTTGGTGTGGCTGCGCCGATGCACCTGGAGCGCGGTCGAGTTGAAGAACTTCTTGGGGCAGTCGCTGCACGCATGCGTGCGCTGGCCCAGATGCCGCCGCAGATGGGCCTGGAGGCTGCTGCGCAGCGAGAACTTCATTGCGCAGATGTGGCAGATGTGCTCGAGCGGATTTTGGCCAACGCTCTGGCTCTGGTTCGATCTGCCGCGACGACGCTGACGCGGCAGCGTCTGTGACTGCTGCTCCTGCCCCTGCTCCTGCTCCTGCTCCTGTTCCTGCTGCAGCTGCTCCGCGTGCACATTGCGCTGATGGCGCAAATAGTCGCTGCGTCGCTTGAAGCTGGCCGAGCAGTGGCCACAGCCGAAGGGCGAGATGTGCAGCTCCAGAAATTGCAGCGGCACATAGTACTCGTAGCTGGGCTGCCAGTCCTCGCCGCGTCTGAGGGCCGCCTGGCGCGCCTCCTTGCACTGTCGATATTGGCAGCGGAACTCGATGAGGCGGCTCTTGAGACGCTCCACGCTGATCTGCAGATTGCACTCCTCCTGGAGGCGGGTGCACAGCGATTCCAGGTGCCGCAAGCGCTGCTTGCGCTTGGTGTAGTCCGGATGCTGAGTGCACCAGAGCTGCTCGTAGCTCTGGTAGACCTGTATGATCTTTAGATTGCTGTCGCGCTGCTGCAGCGATTTCTGGAGCACACAATTGATGGGCACCACGTCGTCCAGGAAACTGAATGCCTCGTAGAAGCCCCAGCGTGTGCCCACGCCGCTGCCCTCGACGGCCAGAGCCTCCCGCTGCCGTTCCCTGCGATAGTACTTGATGTAGTCCGTGAGCTTGCGGTGCAGCATCTGCCAGCCGAAGCGGCCCGGGCAGCCGGCATAGGCGTTCAGCTCGGCGGCAATGCCGTGCCAGGCCTGGCGCCGCAGCTGGCGATCGTGATAGTCCAGGTGATTGGGATCCCAGAGATGCGGCTGCTCTTGGTATAGTTCGATGAGCCGGTGCGTCAGATCCAGGCTGAGCCGCATGCGCAGCTGTACGCCCGGCGACAGGCTGCCCTCGGAGGAGGTCTCCGTCAGATCTTCGCCGGCGCCGACCGCTGTCGGCTGCACGTCCTCGGCGCAGGCGGTGGCTAAACTGTGCAGCCGCGTGGTTATCTCATCCGCCGGCTGGGCTTGTGACTCCACTTCCGCCACGATCTCTGCCTCCGTTTGCGCCTGCTCTGGCTCCGGCTCCGGCTCCAACAGCTCCGTGTGCTCCTCTGGCAGCTCGTCCGTGTGTTCCGTTGCCAGCTGTTCCTTTGGTTCCACCTCCACCTCCGCCTCCGCCTCCACCTCCACCTCCACCTCATGCTCCATCTCCACGAGCGCCATCAGCTCACCCACAGTCGCATCCGTTTCGTGAACCGTTTCCTGGCCCGCCAGCGCCTGCTCCTCGCAGTTGCCCTGCACATGCGCCTGATGACTGACCAGATTCTCGAAGATCTTGCCACAGCTGGCGCACACATACGGATCGATATGCTTGTGCAGGAACTCCATTTCCGCATAGTGCTCAAAACCGGACACAAACTCCGCCTGCTTGCCCTCCACCACGCTGTGCAGATACCGAATCTTCTCCAGCCGATATCTCTTCCGCAGCGACTGCAGCCGCCGCTGTATGGCCAGCCCGGAGAGCTTGACGCCGCACATGCGCAGCGCCAGCTGGAGTCCGCGATGCGCCTCGTGCCGCTGGCGCACCGTCTCGGCGCAGCGCAGCCGCTTGTGGGCATTGTGCCAGAGGATCGGATAGTGCTCGTAGAGCTCCAGCAGCTTGCGGTTCTCGTGCGCATAGTGCTCCTGCCGCTTCAGCAGTGACTGCTGCGCGCACAGAAATCTGAGCTGGTCGTAGTGCACGAACTTGATGCTCTCCTCCAGCTCGCCCTCGGCGGCCACGCGTTCGCGCTGCTTTAGGAATCGCTGGCACAGCGTCGAGATGCGTATCCGTACATCTGTCACACTGAAGCTCCGGCCGCAGTGGGCGCTCCAGGCGTCTGTTATCTGCTGCCACGATTCACGGCCGCGGTCCACGTCCCGGAATTCGGGATGCGACTGATCCCAGAGGCGCGGATGCGCCTGATACAGCTCGATCAGGTGCTGGACGTGCTCGCTGGTCAGCTTCTGGGGCTCCACATCTGGCAGTGGCCTCTGAGAAAGACGGAAGGGAATGCGCATCAATTAATAAGCCGAATGAACAAATCTGTAAAAAAGTCTGACTTTGACCGGGCAAGCATTTTCCTTCACTTTTTCACTCATTTTCCACCCGTTTAACTATTAAATCTAACCGAAATCGCGTTAACTAAAAGTCTTCAAAAATGAGTTTCGTTTCAATTCACAACTTGCGCCAGAATAGTTTCAAGCAACTTCCATTTTCCACTCAGATTGGTGATTTTCCGAAATGCGTGAAATTCCTTTCACATGCATTTTCACTAAGATTTGTGAAAATTAGTTTGCAGCCAATCGGTTGGTAAAAAAATGTATTGCACTTAAACGATTTTCGCCTATTTTTCACGTGTGCGAGTGGAATTGAAGCTTTCGATTTTACAAAACTTTGTATTATTATTGCTTACGATATTTGGTTTGATTTCTATTTATTTTTATAAATAACTTTTATTTTATTATCAAAACACACACACACACACGTATTCACGATTCTTTTTCTTAGCGATTTTTTGCTTTGCCACGCCCATTGTTGCCACCAGTTAAAAATTTTGATTTATGGGATTTTCGATGAAAGACATTATTCAAGGTCGAGAAAAAGAATGAAAGAAATCCATTTATTACGCAGCATTTTGCACAGCCGAGAGGTTTCTGCGGCAACCACTTTGTTTGTTTGTGTCTTTTTTCTTTCAACTTTCTAATATTCCTGCTCCATTGTTATACCCTTAAAAGGAGGGTATGATGATTTTGATACGCAATTTGCAACGCATTGAAGTTGATCTCAGAAATCCCATAAAAATATATATTTATATCTCCCTCTCCTTTTCTCACTTTCATAAAAGAAGACCTTCGTGTAACTCACTTTTGTATGAAAGAGTATTTTATATTCGGCAGTCCGCAGTTAAATTTTTCTTCTTTTGTATTTTTGTAAGCTTTTCTGATTTCTTTTTTTCATGTTCCGTTTCTTTATTATCTTTCACGAAATTCAATATCTGCTGTAATTTTGGGAATTATGTCACCTTTTGCTTCGACTTGAAAGGAGTATATTAGTTTTGTGGGCGTGTCAATTTGGACGGATCTATATGTGCGTGAGTTCTAGAGCTGGACGAAACAAGTTTGGAATAAAAAATATTGATGGGCTTCTATTAAGACCGAGTCACAATACTGGAAGAGTATTACGCAGTCGGTTCTTTATATGTATTGCTCTTCTGACCAAATTCGTGTTTGTTTACGAGTGTTTTTTTTTTTAAATATTCTTTTTACTTTAATGTGCTTTGATTTCTAATAGTTCATTTTTATGACATTCCATTCTGACGCACGTATTTTAGGGGGTTTATAATCTTGATCTGGATCAGCAGTGATCTATCTACCTAGGCAGAGTTCCTGTTCGTCGTAACTCAGGAACTTTACGAGCTGTTCACTTGAAATTTTGTATAGAGATCTTCTGGGTGCGAGAGAAAATCGAGCTTATATCAGGTCAGCGATAACACGCTCTGTTTTTATTATAACAATAATTATCTCTATAGATATACTGTATTTTGAGCATACATCAAAGCTAATGAGAGCTGAAGATAATAGATAAAATTTCGAATGCAGTTTCTTTTGAGATATACTTTACTCCAGAATATAACATATTTTTGTAAGCTTTTTTCCGCTTTCACTGCACCAAAATGTATAAGACGTATAGTCTGGTGCCCAAGTATCTACACGCATTCTAATGCTATATTTAAGCCCTGAAAATTTCATCAAGTTCGGACCAGAAACACCCGAGTTATGCAAGAATGCTTTTTCCACAAATATTGTGGGCTCAAAGGGAAGAAGAAGCAGCAGGGACGCTGAAAGTCAGGCTTAGCCAAGGCTGAGGCTATCTGTTAGAATATTTCAATTTCTTTTCAGTTGGGTTTTTCCAACTTTCTTTAGGGTATTTTGTTTATGGATGTTACTTTTTAACACCTTCGTAGTGAAGTATAGGGTATATATATATGTATATATAGATGCGATATAGCTGCCATATGTTTGCCTACTTACGTTCAGATCGTACTTGATGCGATTATTGAGCTGCAGCGTTTCGGTCAGATGTTGGCTCTGATGGGCTGCGTCGAGGGCATTCAGCTCTTGGACCAGCTGCTGCTTGAGTTCGTTGACCTCGCCGCCGCTGGACTGCTCGGCCAAGACCTCCAGCATTAGCTCGTCGACGGGCGACTGCTGCCAATCGGAATGCCACAGCTCCATATGCTCGGCGAACTCGTCCAGGGCGCAGAGGGGCCGCTCCTCGCACAGCTCGCACTCGATGCCATAAAGCTCGCCGGCACAGTTCCATGTGTAGACGGTGCCGCATCTCTGACGCATCTCCTCGGCTGTGACTGGCCCCCCCGTGGGTCCAGCTGCCGTAACTATTGCTGGTGTCATTCGGCTGACCCTTTGTTGTTGTTTCACTTCTTCTGTTGTTGTTGTTGTTGTTCTATTTACTGTCACTTTTTAAGCAGAGCTCACAATTCGGCGCACTTGTTACTTAGCCTTTTAGCCCAATTGTGCGACTGCGCAGCTTCTTGGCTTGTGACGTTGTGAAAAATGACAAGAGCCAAACAGCCAAAGAGCCAAAGAGCCCGACTCGAAGTCGGAGTCGTTGTGCGCGGGGCCATCAAACCCGTTGCGGGCCATCCACAGGCAGACAAACAAGCACACATACACATGCTCACACACACACACACACACACACATACGTAGGCGTGCAGACACACACGCACGCCCGTTCATACACGCCATTCTTTGTCGCTGGGCAACAATAAACAACAGCAGCAACAACAACAACAACAACAACAACAACAACAACAACAACAACAACATGCTTGGCATTTGGTTTGGTTCGCTTTGCTTGTTGCCCGTTTTGCTTTGCGTTTTCTCTTTGCAATTGCCGTTTGTCTCTGTGTGTGTGTTCATGTGTTTGTGTGTGTGTTTGTGTGTGTGTGTGTCTGGGCAACAGGTAAAAGTAACTTGTTAACATGTAAGCGATTGCCCGACTGCTAAATACCCTTGTTTTTTCTGTCACTCTTTCAGCCTCTAACTAGACAAGAAGTAAGCGACTGACCGACTGCTAAATACCCTCTGCTTATGCTTTATTTCTTACATTTGATTCCTTTATCGGTTTATTTAGGCGTTCGTCTGCGTTTAGTTTGTTTTTACAGATTTTCTTAATGTTTTGCTTATGAGATTGGAACTTTAGACTCAATTGGCAGACATTTTTGTCAATGTGGCAAATATTAAATATCATGACCAATATACATATGTATATCTGATTTATAATTCCGTATGTGCAATACTAGAAAATAGCTGTCAGCCAATTGTGTTCTTTCTAGTTCATATAATCTATGAGATATAATTGAAAAGCTTAGGAATAAAATCGATATTTATCGATATCAGGGGAGGGAGCTATCGATAATTTGGTATAATTCTTATAATCTCAAGATTGACGAAAATTCAGTCGGATACTCCTCTTTATACTTAAGCGTATGTGCTTCCATATAACAAGAGTTCGGTATATAAATAATATAATAATAATTTGATTTCTGCTGGCTGCACATAACCAGCATACCCTTGCTTACCTATGCGCAATGGTAAATGTATAGGGTATGGGAAAAACGTAAACATGACAACGCAACAGCTGAGAAGCAGGGCTCAAAACAATTGAAGCCACTTTGCGTCTGCGCGCACAGCTCTCACGTGTTTGCGAGTGTATGTGTGTGTGCCTGCATGTGCATGTGTGTGTGTGTGTGCCTTGGGAACCGGAGCAGCAATTTACATTTACACACATTAACAAACTTCATTGTTGCCGCCGTCTTGGCCAATTCTTTGAAGCTTAACTCGTTTTACTTCCTCCGTTCTTTGTTGGCCGCTTGTGTTTATATGAAAACGTCATTTGTAACGGGACCAGGGCTGGCAAAGCCGGCACGAGAATATTCTAATGCTTGAGTATGCACATTTAACATAGCTATGTTAGCAACAGCCACAGTCCAGACTGTTAATTAGCATGAGGGCGTTAAGGCGCCCATCTACATATTTGAGTTCTTTGGCAATACAACTAATTAGCTATGTAATGCTTTGTTTTTATTCATTTTCTTATTAACTCATTAAGCAATTTAAACGCTTTTTAAAATATTCATAGTAATTTACAAGTTTTTGGTTATCGTTTAACCCCAGATTGTTCTGTCTATTCCAATTACATTAGAGTTCCCTTTTGTAAAATCGACTAAATCTGTTTTTAGATAGTAATTTGGCAAGATGCATACCTTATTCAAGAATTCTATTAATATTTATTCTATTCGTTAGGCAATCGATCCCAAAAATCAGAGGCAACATGGGTTAATTATGTCATCTGTAATGTGAGCTGTCAATTACCGTTGATTGATCGTTAATCGATTTTAAAAGCCTGTCAGTTATAAATCGATAAGCTGTTCGCGCGTGCGCTCAGACAAAATAAGAGTGGATTTTTGGCAGCTTTAGAGGTCGACAATGACAGTGCTAAAAGGTGCCAAGTCATTGTCAAACAAGTCAGTGTCAAGCCCTGGTCAATTACAATGAGGACACTTCACATACAAGTGGACAGGTTCGTTTGCCACACACATGCATACACTCAGATATGCGTGTGTGTGTGTGTGTGTGTGTGTAGAAGTGGAAATGGTAACTGGCAAACTTAACGAAACACTCAACAGTCTTGTGTTCTCTTCTTTCTCTCTCCCTCTCTCTCGCTCTCTCTCTCTTAGAGCGCTCTGAGCTCAAGCAGATGGTCAAATAGTCGCAGACCCAGTTGCAACAATTTGACGAAACGATCGCCAGGCGATCGCCATGAGAAAGTTGACCGCATTGGAACTGATGCGAGTTTCCCTTGTGAAAATCTAGTCTATGCATATGAAATCTATCTATGCCAGTTATTAATTCTGCTGGGAGCCAAATAAGGGCTATGATCTCGCTTGGGCCACGTCACGTCACAAATATTTTTATTTTCATAATCGGGGAGTGCCTCCAATGTGCACCCCCAGCCCCCTTCGAGTCCACCCAAAAACTAGGCCCCGAGACAAATTGCATGAAAATGAAAACGGAGCGCGCAGTGGCAATAAAATGCTTTGGGGCCAAACTGTGCGGAAAAACTGCAACAAGGCAAAACAATGACATAAAAAAAAAGAAACCGATTGAAAAGCAATGATATAAAGGCAGGCCTTATCAAGTCGAATTTCGTATGCCCTTGCGTCTTCTACGCAGGGTATAAAGTCGTCTGCTTAACTTTAAAGCAGAGCAAAAACTGAACAAAATGTTGCTCTTAATTTTTTGTAATTTTAATTTCAATACAACTTTATTCCCTTGGCCAGACATTATAAATTTTTGGTAGAGTTTTAATTTTATAGCACAAAGAGTGCAGTATTTAACGCCCCATTTAATAGAGTATATTCATACGCATAAAGGTATGCACTGAGAGAAAAACTAAGCTAACAATAGTTCATTAAGTAAAACAAAACATTGTATAATGTTTTGAATGTTCCACATTAACATAGAATTTTACAGTTATTTTTTTTTTATTGTTATATTTTGTATATTTTTATTTTATGTTAGTTCAAGAACAATCGAATTATCGAGTCAAAGTCTTATTTAAATCAATGCGAAGGTGCTTAAAAGTTAGCCAAGCTTTTCTTGAATTTAATCTCTTTTTTTTTCAGTGCTTGATTATTATTATTATTGATATTTATGTTTTTAGAATTTAAAATTTTCATTTTTATTTCAATTTGCGATTTTGTGGCCCATCTTTTCGCTGAGTGTATGTCTGGAGCGAAGTTTAAGGGAATATTCAGCGTAAGCGCAAGATAAACACGACCCAAGGGAGCTTTACCTGCAACTTTCGCGCTGTCAACTGTGTGTGAATGGCTGTGTGTGTGTGTGTGTGTGTGTAAATAAACAAAACGCATATGGCAACACACACACACACACACACACACACACACACATGCCGCTGGTCATGTTTAAAAGCATGAAACATAGCGCTGCAGCAACAACAAAAGCTCTGGCCTTGCCTACCACTAATACATGCGCACAGTCACACGCACACAGACAAACTCGCTCGCACACACACACACACACACACACACACACGCTCAGCTGCAGACACGTTGACTTTCCGCCATATTCACAGCAAAAAGTTGATCCTTTCGCAAATGGCGACGCGTCCAAACAACGCGCAAGCCCTTTCCTGCAGCACCGCTGCCACGCCCATCCCAGCAGCATACGCCCCAACGAAAAGTATGGCCGTCGGGGGTTTTTGATATGTCCCATCAGAAACTGTAATTCCAGCAAATAAAACGGTAAATGCAAACAAAGGGCAACAACAAAATGACAAAGTGGACCAAGGCGAAATATTACAACAACAACAACAGCGGGGAAAAAAAAACACATAAATATATATGAATATGTGCTACATATATGCATATGTGTGTATGTACATATATATATATATATGTATGTTTGTATATAGATGCATATTTGTGAAATATGTGCACAAATTGTTTATGAAGTAAAACCGCAAACATTTCGCTACGTTAAGTCTCGCGGACAGGAAACGCGCGCGGCGGCGCCTTTCGCCCACTCACCCCACTCACCCCGCACACCCCGCTCATATCACCCGCCCTTTCCCCTACGGCAGCCCTGCTATCTTTTTCGTGTGGCACTTTTCACATATTTCGGCGTTTCTTGCGCGTTTTTTAATAACATTAAATTTCGTTTTTGTTTTTTGCTTTTTGTAAATCAATTCTTTGTGTGAAATTTTATTTTTTTACACTCCCTTTGATTTGCCACGCCCTTTGTGCAGCTAACTGTATAATTAGTCTTTCCTAATGGCTGATTCGTCCAGTTAAATAAAACAAAAACAAAAATAATGTGATTGACAAGCGGTTCGATTGTAAGCGACAACGAGATTAACAACAAGTCCGGGGCATTCTTTAAGAAGCATCTACTCGACTGTCCGATACCCTGCAGTCGACTCCTAATTCTTCTCAATTTGTCGTATATCTCAATAATTGTGTTGCCTGGTAGCTGTAGAGCTGCGCACAAAGAAAACACATTCAAATTCCCCAATTCAATTCTCTATTGCGATACTAAGGCCAATAATGCGTATCGCCTGGAAGATGCATTAGCGATAGTTTTTCTTAATGATACTTTTTTTCAATTCACCACAGAAATATGCATTTGCGACATGTTTTTTTTTATTTTGTATGATTTTTAAAGCTTAAGCCCCCGAGAGCTAAGAAAGAGTATCGCCTGGAAGATGTATTAGCAATAATGACAATTATTTCTAAAATTCAACTAGTTTCAATTGTCCACAGAAATATGCACATATATATGCATTATGTTTTTAAAATCTGTTCTACAAATCTATGTTTCTGAATAACTGATAAGATATTGCTGATGAATTTTTTAATGATATAGGAACTATATCCTGACTCAAGCGCCAATATCAGCCGACCAGAATGAGATCGTTCGAAGGATAAATTATTCATTAATTAGCAGCTGTCTCCCTTTGCCAGTTGTTACGCTAATTCGAATACTTTTTTGCGTCTACAGGGTATTAAAAAAACTTGGTTGAGCTTGTGCCAAAAAAGGGTTGGGGTTGTTTTTTATATATCTTTTTGTATCTTTTGGACAGGAACCAAGGAAGCTGCCAGCAAAAGCCGCACATCTCTGCTTGCCACAATATATGGCCGCACATTATTCAAAGGACTCGCGATGTTTTTCTTTTCGTCGTTGCTGTTGTTGTTGTTGTTGTTGTTGTTGTTGTGGTTGTTGTTGTTGCTGCTGCTGCTGTTGTCGCACATTGCGCCTGGTAAAACAAGCGCGAAAACATAATGAGCATATAAATAGACAAACAATCACCGGCAAACAGGCAACAACAAGCAACAACAACAACAACAACAACAACAACACCAACAACAACGGCAACAGCAACGCGACAAACAACCGTCCAGACAGCAGCCCGCAGCCACAGCAACAACAACAACAGTCGACGTGCGCATCGGGCGCCGCCCCCTGCCATCCGCCCGACGACCGTAAGCTGCAATCATTCACAGATTGCAGTCAACTCACCACGGCGAATTCACCGCAGTCGTGTTGAATTGCTGTCGGCTTCTGCACAGCTGCGACGCTCGTGTCCTTTTCAGTTGGCTGGCAGCGCAGCTGCTGCGCGGATCATGCTCTGAAGACAATGCATGGCTAACAAATATCTTTTTGCTCCATATGTTATATTATTTCCTAACTTAAATAGCGATAGTTTTTGGAATAAATAATAGAATTGCATATATATTCTAGTTACTCAGCTACTTTTTCTAGAATAATCATATTTCGATAGATGTTTTGTATCCTATTTAAAATGTACTTTAACTAACTTTGGAGTAACATGCAGGAAAGTTTATTAACTATTTGAACAAAACAATATTTAATTATTTATTGTATTATTGCACTTTCCACCAATATTCGTATTCCCTCCAATCGGAACAGTGGATAGTTCTTGGTAATCTTATCCAATCCCTGTCCTCCTAAGACTCCTTCTTCTTGTACAAATAGTTAAATTACTTGCAATTGTTGTCACTTTCTTTTCCTTCCTTTAATGTCTATCGGTAGTCGCGATATACATATATGTGTTCAAAATATCTTTCCAAAATCTGACATTATTTACCCGAGGTACCCGACAAAGTCAACCGATATTTCGATACGAGAAAGTGATGTTAGACCTTTCAATTTGTTATAAATTTGGTTAGAATTGGATTATTTTTGAATGATTAGCGATAGTCCTGAGACGTACAATATCTAGAAGTTCCCAAGCCTTTTTCGTGTACATTACAACCATTTATCTGGGACCTATCTTTCTCTACCCTTTACCATTCCCGGCAAAATGTCCTCTTTAAAGCTTGAACTGATTTAAATGCTTATAATTTTATTCTCCATATACATTCAATATTTTCGCGTAGTTCCATGTCTCGTAACATGCCCAAACGATTTCTGTTGTTGTGTCGGGAAATTTACATAAAGTAATTCGTACAGCTAGTGTCGCATCCATCAATTTTCAACATCCGACAGAAACAATGCGAATATTTGCTGTTTGTTTAAATAATTCATAAATAAGCGAGCTGTGTGTGCGTGGGAGCGACTAGCAGCTACCCTGGACCTAGACTTTATCTTAGTTGAATATTCTCAATTATGAAAATCAAGTGCTGCAATCGATATTTATCGATTTTACTAAAATGAGAGAGTTAAATTTTATAAGATCGTTCTGTGTACGGAATAACAAAATATATATCTCAAATTCCAAGACGCTATCCACTTTGGTTTTCCTCATGACAGACTGTTAGACGGACAGATTAAGATCGACTAAGGTCGTCGCCCAGATCAAAAATATATACCCTTTATGCAGGCAGAGTAGCTTCCCACTGCCTGTTACATACTCTTGCACACACGCAATATACCCTAAATACAATTTTCAATGAATACAGGGCATATAAAACTACAACAAATAAATCTTTGATGTTTATTTGCCAAGCGTTTAAGCAAAAACAAAATAGTTGTGAGTGAAAAATGTTGGAAAAAAAAAAAAATTGCGCAAAAAATATGACACGCAAAAAAAGAACTGAAATATAAATGGCAGACAATAGCAATTAAAATGCACAAAGCCGCCGATAGACGAATCTCATATTGAAATAAAAAACCATTCGTATATATGCTGTAAAGGTCTTAAGTTTCATTTTGTGGAGAGTATTTTGAAATCGTGTGTTCCCGGTTTACATATTCAAATGGGTCGAGCTGCAAAGTTGGACTAATGTAGAAACCTGTCCCTGTTCAACTCAGCTTTCGACCATGCAATGTTGATCCAATTTTGTATAGCTGCTGTTTTTTTTTCGCCTTGGGAAGTTCAATTGTTGGAATCAGACGGATCGGCACACTATATCATGCCATATTGAGTTGTTAAATCGAGCTGTTGCATGTAAAAGTTCAGTTTGTTTTTTCGCTTGCTCTACCCTTAAGCCATCGGGAATGGGTATAAGGGGTATTATGTGTCTGTGCAAATGTATGTAACAGGCAGAAGAAAGATTTTACGACCGACAATATATATATATATATATATATACATATACGAGCTCAGTGAATCTAGGCATGTCCGCACTTCTGTTTCTCTATCAAAACGATCGTCGATCTAGGCCAAGGAAATATAGAATACGCCCGCTTCATATTGGCAAGATGAGCTTATTCTAAAGAGTGCATTAAATACTTAAGTATTCGATTCAAGCGAGTTATGTATCGATATGGAAGTGAGCGATATATGTATCGATATGAATAAACGAATTGTATCTATTGCAGTCTTTTCAAAATAAGTAAAAGACTACCAAATACCCCTTCTAACTAACTACCTATTTAAAGATTATCATTTTATTCGATAACAACTGCTATTTTTAAAAACATCGATAACTATCGAATTTGTTGTGGCCAAAGAAGAAGAAGCTAGAATCGTTTTGTATATTTTTAAGAATCAGTTCGTTTTACTAAACGTCATTATTTTTTGTATTTTATATAAAAAGAGTATTCCGTGGTCGTCATGTCAAGCATAAGGCTAAATTCCCTCTTGTTTTATTTGTGGCCAGTTCCATTTCTAGTATATTATTTTTCCTGCGCTCTGCTTTCGTTTCAGTTTGGTTTTTCGATTTGTTGTTTTTATTTTTTTTTACTATTTTATTTTTATTTCTTTTATTTTTTTATTTCTTTTTTTTTTTTGAGCAGCCGTCGCGTTCATTGCAGCTGTAAATCGAATTTCGACACGCTTATATAACTTTTAGATTTATTTATTTAACAATTTATACGGCTAGCCGGGCAATTTATTAGATATGTTTAATTTTAAAGCGTTTGTGCTTTCTGTCTGCGGCGCTGGCAAATGCTTTAATTTAGTTGGAATTTTAAGCGGATTTCAAGATTTATGATAATGGTGCTTCATCTATTTAATTTGAATTTAAACATTTCTAGATATATATATTATTATTGAATTTTAAATAACTTGCATTTATTATCTCTATATGTAAAGCTCGTTTGTCCTGACTGACTGACTGATTGATGATCAACGCACAGACCAAGCCGCAAGAGGTAAGATTTATATGCCTGTTTGTACATACATGTTTGCATATTTGTTTTGCATATATGAAAACATCCATGCATGCGAACATGTATGAATACAAGTCCGGAAATATAAATGGAAATATAAATGCAAATATGCATACCTACATACATACACAATATGTACATATGTACATACATACACACATACATACATACATACATACATACACACATACATACATACATACATACATACATACATACATACATACATGCATACATGCATACATACATACATACATACATACATACATACATACATACATACATACATACATACAAACATACATACATACATACATACATACATACAAACATAAAAACATAAAAACATACAAACATACAAACATACAAACATACAAACATACAAACATACAAACATACAAACATACATACATACATACATACATACATACATACATACATACATACATACATACATACACACATACATACATACATACATACATACATACATACATACATACATACATACATACATACATACATACATACATACATACATACATACATACATACATGCATACATACATACATACATACATACATACTTACATACATACACATACAAACATACAAACATACAAACAAACAAACATACATACATACTTACATACATACTTATGCATATGTATGTACATACGTACATATATATATATATATATATATATATACATATGTATTTATAAAAAAAAAAAAAAAAACACAATAAACAAAAATACCAACAAAAAAAAAATACTACACTACTAGCTAAGCATGAAAAACTGCAGAGCCTACTAGAATTCTTGAGAATCGAGGAGGAGAGCACTTGCTAAAAATTCGTTTTATTTAAATTTGCAGCACAGCGAAAAATAAGCTAGTTCTGCGTTTGGTATCAGATGACATACATACATACATACATACATACAAACATACATACATACATACATAAATGCATACACACATACATGCATACACTAACACACACACACACACACGCACATATTATATACATTTTAGGTATCAATTGTTTTCTGGCGGAAAAGATATGAAATTATGCTCAAAAACTATTCAAACTTTAAGTTTTTACTCGAATATGTAAATATTTTATTATTTGACAATTTCTTGTGTACTCAGAGTCCTTTTTTGTTGTCTGAAATTTCGTGTGCAGATTGTTAATTATAAAAAAAAAAAAAAAAACAAAACAAATTATTAACAATTATAGACTTATATTCTGGCTCTTTGAACTGAGCAATAAGCAAAGCTAGAGTTGGCAAAGTTGCCAATTGCTGTGGGAATTGCTATAGACCTAATTGCTATAGGAACTATCATAAAATATTATATGAGCAATAGTCAAGCACTTTGCCCTTGCCCCCATCCAGCCGCATTCAGCTCGCAGTCAGCAAATTTGTTGTGAATGATACGTGCCTGAAGTTTGTGTAAAATGTTATATATTAAGCGTGGGTGTTGAAGTGAATTTGCCATAAAAGTGCATAGCGTTTATTTGCAGTGAATGGTATTGAAAGTAACTTTCATAACGCTAGCTGGCTTTTACAAAAAAAAAAAATAAAAACTAAGAAATGGCAAAAAAAAATAATATAACGAGATAGTGTAAGGTTATCTACGGCACGCCGAAGAGTTAATGCCCTGTAGACATCTCCCCTTTGCAGATATGAGAGAACAGAGAAAATGCTGAGTTTCTTGAAATATCTCTGGAAACAAAACATTTTGTCTTATATGATAGACCGATCTTTCTTATAGTAATCCGATGTTGATTAGATCACGCATATATATGAGAATCTAATGGAAGTTTAGTCAAGATATCTGACTATAGAGAAAGGTTTCCATATCAGAACCAACTTTTCAAGCGATCGTTCCTATGACAGCTATATGTTATAGTGGTTCGATCTTTCCGGTTTTGACGTAAGTACTACGCACAACGGAAATATAGATATACATAATATAGAAATATATTTATACTAAGACTGAGAGACAAGTACACATAGAAGCATGCGGACGAATGAACAGTTGGACTTGGCTATATAAACCCGGCTGTTAATGCTGATCTTAATTATGTATACTGAATGGGAGGTCTCCTGCCATGAGGTACACATATCATGACCGGATTAAAATACCCTAAAAAAGGGTATACAAAAATATATAAGCACTTGACCACTTTATCTGTAAGTGCACACTGCCGAGCAGCCCGGACCTACTTACTTTTATACGACTGCAGCGCGCTTCCTGGCTGTGTGTCTTACATTTTCATTAAGTTGAAAATAACAACGAAAAGTTTTCGTTTTCCGCTGCAGCTCCTATTGCTCCTCTCCTGCAGCTCCAATTGCAGCTCCTTCTGCAGCTCCTATTGCTCCTCTACTGCTGCTCCTATTGCAGCTGCTTTTTCAGCTCTATACATAAACATTAGCTGGTGTTGTTGCAAGGATACATATTTTTTGATATGCCATGTCCAGCTGTGCATTTCCTGCCACGCCCACACACCTGCCCGCCCATCTGGGCCAACCAACTGCCGTTCGCTTCGAAGCGTAACGTGCAATTTTTATTGTTATAGCCGAACTTGGTACATGTCATGCTGCCTAGACACTGTTGTTAACTTTTGCTTGCTTTTGTGGCCGGCACGCCCCCATCTTTCGTTGCCACCGCCCACCAGTCCAGACCAGACCAGACCCGAGTCCAGTCCACCCACTGGGCCCGTGTCCAGCGTTTTGCAGTTTTTCGCATTTGAAGTTTTTGGGCGCATAAGTTTTTACCTTTTCATTTTTTTCTTCAATTTTTTTAGTTAAGAGTAAAGGGTATTTTTATTTTGTCACGAAATATGTAATTTATATATATATATATATATATATATATATATTCCTGAACAGCAAATGACAAAGTTGCAAGTCGAATTGCTAGGAGAGGGATATAAGGTTTCTGCAGGTATTCTCTAAGAGCTCTTGACATATCAAAGAGGGAAAATCTCATAAATATCGAAACGTTTTTGATCGTTTTTTAATGGTTTTAACTTTTTCGTTTTTAGCAAACTGCGCCTGGACGAAAATCAATATTCTTCCAGCATATCCCGTTTTACTACTTATATCTAAGAAGTTAGGAATTTTGTTTGTTCGTACAAAATTTTAGGTCAAATGTCTGCCAGGGCATTTAATATTCGGAGTGCCGCGCTCTCTAGCTTTCTTTTTTCTTTTTTGTGTTCACTTTTTTTTTCTACCACGCCCACTGTCCCCTGAGCAAAGCGCTCGCTGCAGCCCTGCCCCCTCGTGCCCGCTGCTCGTGTGCTTGATATGAGCGTCAAAATGTTTGGCTAGCAAGTTTTTGTTTTTGCCGGCTTGTGACTATTGCAAAAGTATTTTTGGTCAAATTAAAAAACATTTTACAATTGCAGGCGAGTGTGTGTGTGTGTGTGTGTGTGCGTGCATGTTGTGGCAACTTTCGCTGGTGACTTGCAAAAAGTTTGCCATGTCTTGCTGCCGCCCAAAATGGCCAAAACGTTTGCACTTTGCGTTAGCCAAAGACGCCCCAAGTTGCAGCCAGCTCTCAGTTCATTGCCAGTTATTGTTGTCGCCCATTGTTGCCGTTGTTATTGTTGCTGTTGTTGTTGACTGTTTTGCTTGGTTGCTGTAGCAATTCTACCATTTCCATACACTAACAATGGGCATATTAGCTTACGCATGAGTTGCGTCCTGCATTGAAGTGGGCATTTCTATGCGAACGAGTGTGTCTTAGCCTGAGAACTGGGCAAGCAAATTCCCTTTAAGTCAAATTGAAAAGGTCTTAAAGATACATATAATACAAATATATAGCTATCGCTTCTTTATCTTCCTGGGCGATAAGTTGGCGATATCGCATTTTGCCTATCCAGGCGATAACTTTAATTTCTTGGCAGATAAGTAAGCTGGTTATTTACTTTACCAAGGCTCTCGATAGGGTTTGAACCAAACCGGTTCAAACTCCAAAATCCAATATAATAATGGCCATGAACCGAACTCCAAACTAAACTATTTATTTGCTAAAAATCAGCTGAGCTGTAATCCGAATCAAACGAAAAAAAAAAACAAGTTATCGCTAATTTATGCTCCTAGCAATAACTTGGCGATATTTCAAGTTTTATTTAAGAATTTTTATAAAATAAATTTTGCTTTGCGCTTTTATCTTTCTGCGCGATACCTTGGCGATAACATAGTCGAACTCGAATCGTGGCTAACAAAATTGTCAGCTAGGGTATCTACGCTTTGGCAAACCTCTTGGCAAACTATACTTTGTTATTTTCTATTTTCTTTCAACACTTTTTGATAGTAAAAAGTTGGTGGTTACTTAAGTGTGGCTGCCCGGCTACGCCCCGTCCCGGCCAACTGCTGGCTCGCGCCATTTTGTAGCCTCCTGAGGTGCTGGGGCCAACGGCTTTGGTAATTAGTTAGCTGCTAACTGCGGCTGCTTGCGAGAGTTTTGTTGGCCAAGTTAATATGCGGCTGCCTTGTGACATTATCGCCGGCCAAGAGAAAAAACCATCCAAGCTAACGAAACATAATATGCCAGTTTCCAAGTCGCAGCTCCCTAGGGGAAACCAGAAACTAATGCAAATCGTTTGCCTAGCGAAAACTTTGCCAGAAAATCCATGCCAAAGTCTTTAATATCTATATTCCAGCATGTTTCAGTGCGTCTGTTAAATTTGCTTCTTAGTTTGGTTTGGAAATCTTAGTAGATAATTTTCGGGTTTTTACGCGGCATCTTAAAGTCGACCCGCTGGGATTTTCCGAAAGTTTTTTTTATTTTGACACGGCGCGCAGCAGTTCATCTCAATTAATTTAAGTGGAAAGTGTTTTTGTGCTGTTATTTTAAGTGGAATTTGTTTTTGATTGCTTCACAACACTATATAAAACATTGCCACTGCCCGAATGTTGGATCATTTAGTGCTGATTAACGTCGTTTCAGTTGATGTCAGAAAGCTTTAATTGTTGAGCACTGGAATTGGCCACAAATAAGTTAAATACATTTGATTAAAGTTCTTTTAAAGTCCGAGCTGAGACCCGAAATCAAAGACTTATATAGAGTGAGAAAACTTATCTTCCCAGGCGATAAGTTGGCGATATAGAATAGAATAGATATAGTGTATAACTATCGTCCTTTTATCTTCCAAGTGGCTAAGAAATCATTTTTGGATTTCTTGTTTTTTATCGAAAGTTTAAAGAATTTGATTCTTGTTTATGCTAAAATAATAAATCTAGCCTTCAACCGATTAGGTTTAAGCCCGGACTTGCATCCCTGTGTTAACAGCTAAGTCCGCCACTTAATACCCTGGAATTACAAATAATGCAGCAATATTCAAAATTATATACAATGTGCCTAATAGGCAACAATAGCTCGAAGAAGCTATCCATGCTAGTCCTAATAACTCCATTGAACTCAGACCCTATAGAAGCTAGACTTGTCAAATTTGGTGCGTTGTTCCCAGGTTTCGGGCCTCGCCTAAAATATTGCATTCATACGCAGACACGAGGAAGAAGTAAGCGAATATAATAGCAGGCAAATTGTCTATCGGAAAATTGATGCATTTAACTTTTGGCATGTCAAGCGTATTTGTCGAGTATTGCATTGACATCACCTTGGCAACGGACAGGTGATTGAAGCGAATCAATTCTGTTGCAAAGCCAAATATGTAATTAAAAGCCAGCTTTTGGCAAAGAGCACATATGTTATGTACTCAGTGGCGATTAAGTAATTAACTGAAATTCGCCAAATGTAAAAGCCAAAGCCACACAACATTTGCCACAACAACAAGCTGCGAACAACAGCCACAAATTGCATAGACGGAGAGGGCTGATAGATGGTAGGGGGCCGGGGGATGGGGGGTGTAGGGGT